GTTATAACTAACTAGTTTAGTCATAACTAGCTAGACTTAGCTATAACTATCCTAACCATGATTAACTCCTTGGCTACTTCTAGTTTTATGTCACACATATAACATATGGTCTTACAGGCCCGTGCATTAGGCGTTCTGAGCTTGGTGGGGACTGGTCAGCGATCACACATTTTGGAAACTGCGAACTCCTGAAGCTTTCTTCTCTTCTGCAGCCGCTCTTTTCCTCTGTCCCTGGGTCCATCTGTTCTTTCCAAAGGCAATGCAAGTTGCGCCTACTCTTGGTCGGTATCGACCTCGTTGGCAATCCAAGTCTCGTCTCCATCCTGCGCATGAGTCTGCAGTGAATATGCATCAACGCCACTTCTACATTCCTTCTGAAACGATCATGGTACCATGTGGTTTAATATTTATTCTTGCCAGTGCGCGGTTTCTTGAATAACGCCGCGTATGTCTTCTCTTCGGCTCGTTACCTTGACGCTCAACTGTCAAAGGTAAGATCGCCGTCCTGCAACCTCCGGGCTGACTCTCACTCAAGTTTACCTCAGATGGCTTTGCGGTAGCGCATCATGATTCTAGAAGACTAGGATTCATCTTACACTCATAGCACAAACTGTCACTCACACAAACTCTCAAGGTAGCACTCCAACTCACACACACATCGACACTCCAGGGTATCAAAATTCGTCACTCTTTCATATATGAAACAAGTCCTCACACATGATTCTCCAAACTTGCTTTCTATTTATACTACTTGAGAAGTTACCGTAGTAACATGTGGTAATTTCTCCTAACTTACTTTTACCTAAGTAAGTTTGATTAACCCTCTCTATGTGGCAACATGCCATTGGCCTAGCTAAACCTTCTAGAAGTTTCTGGAATCCAAGGTTGAGGTGGCAACATGACATTTGAAACTTTTAAACTTCTACAAGCTTCTTAGCCACTAAATCAACACTAGACTTAGTCTAGCCAATCATCTTTCATAAATTTTAGTATAACCAATCAAATCCAAGCTTTTAGTCAAATATCTAATCCCTTGGAATCTAGAACTTTTGCATAAGACAAAATAGAAGTGCTCACTCCTTGTAAAAGTGTGAGCACAAAAATGCGCTCACATGTCTTTTTAACCTTATGAGAGTTAAAATTTTGGATTTAAGCTCTTGCAAAATTATGCTTGGAGTTTTTTGAAAGTTTTGGCAAGATTAGGAGTTGGTCTGATGGCTAGTAGGCAAAGGTGCGGAAGGATGCCTTCGGGGCAAGGCCTTCGGCGGAAGAGTAAAACCCTCATAACTTTTTCAATTCGTAACGCCTTGACTAATTTAGGCTCTTGTTGGAAAGAACTCAACACGCTCATTCCAACAAGCCCAAGAACTCTTGAAACGGATCAGGCATCAGTGACTGTTATAGATAGACAAAGGTGTGGAAGAGTGTCTTCGGCGCAAGGGCCTTCGGCGGTGCGCGGAAGAAGATTTCCGACGGCGGAAGTCGGCGTGGTCATGAATGTGGAATGTACAAGTGTGGCGGCGGCGGCGTGAAGTCAAGCGTGGAAAGTAGGACGGCGGGGCGTGAAGTCGCGCATGAGAAGCAGGCCGTTACCCATCATTGAGGGAACGGCATTCAAGCGGCCGGTGGGCACCTCGGCCCTCGGACGAAGGAGAAATTTTTGACCTTGGAGTAAAAATCCAGAGGGGTGCCATTGTGTGTAGGCGCAAGTGGGATCGGTCGTAGGGATAGAGTGTGGATGTGAGTGATTTTCGCAAGGAAGTGGTGAGAATTAGGAGGGGAGTGTTGAGAATTCGAAGGAGGAGGGAGCGAATTCTCCAGGGTGGAGAGTCGAATCTGAGTGAAATTTAATCGGGGTCTGATATCGAAGTGTCGAATCTGTGAGTGGGAGCTGAAATCAAAGTGAAGGATCTGAGAGTGGGAGCTGAAATCGAAGTGAAAGATCTGATTGTGGGAGCTGAAATTGAAATGAAATCTGAGACTGAAATCTGACAATCGGGATCTGAATTTGAAACTGAAATGTGAGAGTTAAATCTTAGACAGAAATCTGATGGGGTCTGGGGCTGTTGAGGGAAGGTGGCAGTGTGTGTACTTGTTGTGAGGGTGTGGGAGAGGGCCGAGAGGATCGCCAGGCTAAGAGTGAGTTGACCGCTAAGAGGAAGAATAGAGCGAAGTGTTGAGAGTAGAGTCGTGATCCCTGGCTGTGAAGATTGTTGTTAGGAAGGGTGTCACCTTGTACTGCCTATGTGTCACCTGACTTGTCCGAGGCAATGTGTCTGAGATGTGACACTTATTCTAGGATAAGCCCATAACGGCTGTAGTATTGAGAAAGTCACCCAGAGTTGGGTTAGATCTTTATGTTACAAAGAACTTGTCTGCTGCTCTTGTGAAAATAGCAGACAGCAAGTTATTAGTTTCAGTGTTGGATAATTTGTCTGTGGAAGAGCAAGTGTTTATGATCTCGTTGTCTTGAATACACTTAGAGCATATGGCTTGAGATCCGAGAAGTTAGATTATGGGAGCTCGAACCCCCACTTGGATTACAAACGCTGAAGTGTGGGGAGTTTCGGCTCACAAAAAGACAAAATAGACTTGCTCATTCCATTCTTCTAGAACTCCACTGATCATTCCGTCAACTATAGACATTGTAGCTAAACTTAGTTATGACTATATAAATTTAGTTATAACTAATTAGTTTAGTCATAACTAGCTAGACTTAGCTATCCCTTGGCTAATCATCATTGACCACTTTTGACCACTTTTGAGATTTAGTACATATGTGCAACACCCGGTCTTACATTCCTCACCTCCTCGTTACCCCAGTACTTTCGCCAAATTTCAAATTTGCTAAGTTTCGGTATTGCCTCGATAGCACTCTGGTTTCGGAGTGTCATCGTCATACCACTCTTGTACCACTGCCTCGTAGACCCAATTCCATCCCCCAGAGCAAGAAATTGAGCTTCGCAAGAATCAATTCATTACGATAAGCTCGCAATCCCGCCTTAGGAATCCTCAGTGCGGTCAATTGAATTGACTCAGGTCAATTCGATTCGATTGCTGCTTCTGCCAATTCGATCTTCCGCACCTCAATCTCTCTAGAATTCTTTATTCTCTTCTCTTCTGAATACTAACGTTCCAAAAGTTAAAACTTATGTGGATTTATCCACCTAACTAAATTAATTCCGAAAAAATGAAAAAATTGCATTACCACAGTACCAATAGCCGTTTCAGACATTTCTTCTCTTTGATCTTAAAGAATATCTTCAAGCTTTAGCACGGGGTTGGAGATGACCCTTAGCAATCTTTGTTGGGTGAAAAGCGCTGAGATTTTTTGGCGCCAGATGAGAAAATCTCCAATTTCATCAAATTTCTTTATATCGATTCTCATTGTAGTCGAAAAATTCCAAGATCTGAGATTTGATATGCTTTCTTGAGACAAATTCGTGTTGGTGCTTTGCTGTGGAAGTTCATCGCTCCTTTTTGGCTCGCCAATGCGCCCAACGTGGAGACTCAATGCTTGCAAGTCCGCCAGGATGAATTGAGTTTAGGAGATAGATGCGACGATAAGTATCTCTCGCTAGGACGTGAGTATATCTCACAGTAAGTATATAAGTATCTCTCACAGTCATCGCAGCATGACAATTTCTCAGATTACACTTCTACTTTAATAAGTTCAATTCTTATTTCTGAGCACTATCACCGAAGAGTAGAGAAACTCGAGGAGAGGAGAGAGAGAGGCTCGGAGTTCGTCACTAGCGCACATTTCGAACGGTCCACAGAGAAAAAAGAGAATCAATCATTAACATTTTCCTCAATCTTGAGGTTCTCTTCATTGATTGAGAATTTGATATCATTTTCATACTACCCAAGGTTCAAGCGTGATAGAACTTCATCGAGTTCCAGGGAAGAAGAAATGTGTCCTAAGCTGTGATTTGTTATTACGACGTGATCTGGTTTGAAGTTTATACTACGAAATTGAGAAGCTATCGATTTGATTAGATGTTCATGATCTTTGGCAGAAACCATCGCTTGTACTTTTTCTCAGAACACGACATTTTTCTTTTGGAAACATGATTCCATATTGTAAAATCGTGCGAACTATTCGTAATTGCAGCCTTTCGATTTTTCTCGATAAGTGGCTTTAGAAGCTTCTGAACATTACAGTCGTGGCCACTTTTCTATGTTTTTGGCCAATTTAATGGAAAAGACATCGTCAAATCATGATTTCATCTCTTCAAAAGCATCTGCATTGAAAAATTCGGCCGGAGACGTTCCTCCGAGTTTCACCAACACTAGTTTCTATACTGCTCAAGGGGTCATTGTTTACTACATACTCTTCTCGACAACAATTATTGCATACTACTTTGGCAAATTTGCTTCCGATTCTCTCAAAATTTTCAAGAGCTGTATTCAAGTATTCATTTCACTATCATCCCTGTACTGAGCTGTATACTTAAGTTTTGGATGATTCTCTCGGCTTGGCCTGGTAATTTTATAGGAAAGAATTTGAGATGTGCAGTGAGCATTGTCAATTGTCCAATTATTTTCAGTAAAGTGAACAATATTCGATGACGGGAGAATGTTACAAGTTCGAGGATTACTAATTTTCACGTATGATAAGCTTGTATGTGAACATTAGTAAACTTCACCTTACAGTTAGACACAACATTGAGGACGAATTTATGCTACTTTAGTGTACGTTGGTGGTTCTGAGATTTCGAGGCTTGCATTCGCTCTTCTTTGGGGCTACTAGGATTTGTGGTCGGTGCAATTTACTACTATCTCTGCCTCTTGCTTACAGCTAACTATCTCACTAAATGTTCAAATTCAACTGCCCGCATCTGCATAACAGTACATACATCTGGACCTGCCGCATTTACATTCATACAATCAACAATCCACTCGTATCACTATCCTCACGACACCACTTGGCTTCATCTTTACGGCGACCTCTTCAGTCAAATGTCATACGTGCAAATATATAGCAGAGACGCCAAATGGCAACGAACTAGAGCTTTAGCGTTTTATTCATGAGTGGCAATAGATGCTAATGTACATGCCGGTCTCTACACCAAGCTGGACCCAGTGCCATGCCTACAGATCATATTCTGTTGGCATGAAACCTGGCCAATAAGGCTTCCTATGCTCAGAACTCTTGTAACAAATATACTCTGGAGTCCCAGACCTTGATGATGTAGAAAGAACCGACTAACTTACAAGACAGGACTTTTGCGGCTCTGTGTGTGTCTGTGCATGTGTGCTCTGCTCAGGCACTCGTTGGATTAATAAAGACTTGACAGATTTTCTTTCTAGTACTTATACAGAATGTGAATTGAGATGGAATTCCTCTCAGTCCTCCAAAGGCTGTTTCGGCTTGAGATCAGCTCTCCCAAGTTTACTCTGAACCTCGTGGACAGTTTCACCGACGGCATTTTGGATGGCACCTCCAGCCTGCCAAGATTGATGACACGAATATGATCAGTTCAAACTGACTGATCTAACCATGCTCCCCAGATTCATCCAAAGCACCATATTATGGAGTGTACAAAACTGCACTACTGGAATTGAGATAGGAAGCGTGATGAGTGGACGTTCACTTGAGGTCTAGAATACTGAAATGGCAGCTGCTGACAGAGATGCAGAGGATTTGATCAAGGTCAAGAGAGTAGTGCAGATAAATCGTACCTTTTGGAAGACATTGCCAGCGTGCTCCTTGGTCTCCTGGGCTTTGTCTTGGGCGGCATCTCCAGCCTTCATTTGCGCATCGCCAAGGGACGCCTCGTGCTGCTGCTGCTGCTTTGTTGCATCAAGCAGCTCGCCCTGGGCGTGGGCGGTCTTGGACCCAGTGTGGAAGTCGTGCTGCGTTGCCATTTCTCTCAGCTCTCAACTCCCAAATCCAGCAAACTGCAGTGCGTGCGTGCACGTGAAGCTGTACGATCTATCTGCAAACAGGTCCTCGCTCTGTCCCACAAACTTGTCCAGATTCTACAAATGACGACGTCTACATCGTCAAGCTGCTGACTTTAAGCGAAATTCCGATGGCGTATCAGTCCACAATATCACCCGTCGACACCCGATGAGTCGACAAGTGGATCCACGATTCGGAGGGCAGTCCAAATCTTCGATCGGGATCAGACTGAGGTCGAGGCCGAGCGACGCCTGGAGGACAGGCCACGAGGCACTTGTAATGCTTGGGCAAGGCCACTTGCTGCAACTGGACTGGACGAGCAACGGCTCAGCTTCTTCTTCGTCTCTGGTCTATTTTCTGATTGTCCTCGTGCAGGCGAGCTCGACATGGAATGCTCTTTTGCAGTGAGATTAGAACGAGTACGTGCAGGGATTGTATTCTACTCAACTCCAGTGATTGGTCTGCCTCAAAGTGAATTCCCAAGCATTACAACTCGCATCCATATTATGGTATGAAACACGGTTATTCAGGGGGCACAAGTAATTTAGCAGAAAATTTTGGAGGATTTCAGCAAGTCGGATAGCGATGATGGGGTCTTCAATTACTTTGGGGAAACACATTGCATGTGGTCAGCTAACCTATCCCAACCACTTTGCTACACCGTTTCACAATTCATATAACAGATTATGAATCATAATCCAACTTGATTGTTACCTTTGTATGGAAATGTAAATTCATAGATTTACAATACTTTTTATAATGAACCAAAGAGATTGATATAGTGTTTCAAAGGGTGGTATCTTTGCTTCTAACCTATGGATATGAAACCCATAGGTTAGAAGCACATTTTATTATAAATCAAAGAGATTGATATAAATTTTTGCATGGTATTACAAATTCATGTGAGATCCTTCATTACCATTTCAAAATGTATATAATTAAATAATTTCAAGTATAGATTAATTAATTCTTTTCATTCTACAGAATTTTATATCTGAATTTTTTAAAATATCTCCATCGGTATTTCGAGTAAGTAATTACGTTAATCAAGGTCTTGCATTAATTACTGCTCGGAACTAAACAAAAACTAAAGCAAGAAGGATGTATCTCCTCTTCCCTGCAAAACTGTGGCCCATTGACACACCTGTACAAATTTTAACTTTCAAAACTCTTAATAATGGTAAATGGTAAATAGATAAAGCCCGTGGGACCCAAAGGGAAAACAATAGAAAACAATCAAAACTTTTCATTCCAAATTTCATAACGAAACGGATGAACTAGAAGAAAGAAAATACTCAATTTATCTGTATATAACGGGAAAAGGAATTCGAACCACTCAACTTAATAAACTCACTGTTATATCTTTATACAGTTTAGTTCACAATGTAAAACGAAACTGAACAAACGCCAAAAATATCTATGCCTTCTCCGTGGATTTAGCATAATATAACACTAAATGATGTGAAGAGAATTTCGCTCATTCTCTAATTTCTCACTCTCGCTCCCGTTGTGGAGCAAGCAGCACATCCTGCAGAAACTAACCACATGACGAGACCTTTCAAAATACTAGTACATCGAGTGTGTCGGAGGTCCACTTCCGTCTGGATGTCACCAGCAAGGAATAAGTCCTCCTTTCAGAAACTCGCTGTGACAGACTGATCCCTGATCAGCCTCATCAAACCACTAGAGTCCGAATCACCAACTCCCTGAACATCGTTTCGATTCCATGCAGGTAACTAAGGATCCATAGTCTGATCATCACCGTGGGACAGCTACCAGCAATTAAGGCATTCGGTGGTTTGATCTCTCCTTCTACCACTCCGAGGCCGGCCTAAACGTTGCATTCCAAACAAACCAACAACAGCACTGGTGGTGTGGCCGATTTGAAGTAGGTCCATTGACAGGAACTGTCTACAGACTCCACGGTAGACTTCTCAAATAAAATGCATGGACGGAATGGGATGGGAGAAAGAGTAAAGGATTCACCTCATCCACAATGCTGCTAAGCAGAAGAACAAGGATCGTGTCGAACAATCGACTGCTCCCTTGATCTCAGGGACCGTCCGTTCTATCATAGAAGAGTTGGGGCAAACTAGAATCCCAAGGGTTCCTGCTAACAGGACAAGTGGACGGATACATGACTTCCATAACAATCCCATGAAATGATGAGTGCTAAGCGAGCAAGTGACATATCAGCTATGAGAGCCGAGCAACTACATGACGAGGTTCTTGATGTGAGCCTGAAAAGTGGGTGGATGAGGTGATAGTATACTGATAGGATCCTTCAACTGACGAAAGTGGAGTGATTACAGGTGCACTGCAACCTTGAAACGCAGGAACATTTGAGACGTTCCAAATTTATATCGCGAGCAAAATTCTTTCCGTAAAGCATAAATGATTGCTCCTACTTCATACCGCTGAGATATGCCTGCATCCTAGTCCCTCTTTACTTCTCACACCGCAAGCCCAGCATCTTAAGATGTGCTGACAGTGGAGGCCACTGTCAGCACAACTGTATGGTCTGAATCTGTCATGTAGGGTTGCGGACTGGATGGCGTCATGATGTGTAGTGTAAAGAATCTAATCTACAGACTAAACTAAAACCTATGCCTGACAACTCCTGTCTGCCCCACTCTGATCTGGTCCTAATGGTTCTACTCCTCTTGGGCAAGCACAACGAAGACATCCTCTAAAGACCACTTTCGAACCGTGAGCTTGTTGGGAGGATTGATGATAGCTCTGTCTTGGGAAGCTAAGCGATATCCGATGACGATCTCGTGTCTTTGCCTTGCACGGGCCATGATGTCATAAAAACTCAACTCTTCTTGATCATATAGATACATTTCTCCCGGCCGAATGTACATTTCATTTCCCTGCGTCAAGGCCACAGCTCTCGACTTCACTTCTCTGTAATGAAGATGCTAGCGATACCAAGAACAGGAAAAGATGCAATTCCACTGCAACTACCTTCGTAGATAACAGCACATCCAGAAAGCCCAGTCAGCTCTTGGCACAAGAATACAGGAGTGAGGGCTTTATGCAATGGATTACCTCTTCTGCAAAAAGCTCCTCCAGGACGCGGTTGATCTGCTTCTCTTCAGCCACCATTGCTAACGCCATGCTCACAAGCTCATTGGACAGAACGTAGTCACTTATCTTTGAGACTGACACGAGATTTTTGGTCCGGGAGTCTAAAATTTCGCTAATGATGATGGACTGATCCGATGCTTGTTGCATTTCACGTATCCAAGAACTTTGTGAGGCCCCCGCAGCACGCACTTGTACATGTTTAGATGCTTGGTGCGGCAATCGCTTTGACTGTTGAGCAGAGAATAGAAGTGAACGGAGTGATCATGATACAACTACAAAGATTAGAGATTTTCCACTTCCAGATCTCGATGGACGATTAGATGGCAGTCTACAGAAAAAACCGAAAGTTTCATGCATATCTAGGACGGATTAACCAAGTGGACAGTTGTGATACGATACCTGAATATCACGAATTAGCAAAAGCGTAGCTAACGATCTGGAATCAGCATTGACCACACTATCCTCCAGAGCCTCGTCGGCAAGGATCAATATCTGAAATATTCAAGGCACGGATCACCTCAGCGTTCCAGGAGAGATTGAGATCTCCAAATTCATATACGGAAAGACGCTGCCAGCTTTGTCCAATCACGGAGGACTTTCCAGTGGGTACTTTTGAGTGCTTTACGCTATAGCACAAGTTACTGACTTTCAATACGTATAAAAAGTCTATACGGGTTCATAATTTAATATGGATGTCTTCAACAAACACTAAAGCTTGCGTTGGCTTGAATTAGCGTGCAAACTAGTAGTTTCCCTGATATGAGTTGAACCAAGGTTGGCTTCTCGAGTTGGCTTGGCATATCCAAAAAGAGAATTCTACAGCTAGGGCAGAACCTGGGATAGAAAGACAAGGCGGATTGTGAAGATGAATGAAAACACCACCAGGCTTTCTACTGCAAGCTATACGTTCCCGTGTCACAACCATATACCAGAATGAAAGGAATCAAAAAAGTTCTATTTGTTTGCATCGAGACGAAGAACATAAAATAGTTTTCGTCATCCGAAGTTACTAACCGAATCAAACGTCTCAAGTGGTAAGCTTTCAAGGTGTCGACGGATAACGGCATTTCCTTGGCGATGAACAAGGGTGATGTTAATTAGCATGTGGGGATTCGTGCCGCCGTCCATTAATTTCTTCTCTCGTTCGGCAAAGGCCACTTCACTAAACATCCAGAGCTCCGAGCCACTGGCCAAGAATGAATCAAGAACCTGCAGAAACGCGGAACGTGTTCATACTCATCTTCTGGCAAGATAATAACGCTATCAGTCTCCACAAGTTCACCATCTTGAAGCTCTAGAATTGACAAATGTACATCTACGTTGAATTGACATCACTTTTGATAGGATTGCCACTGATAAGGAGACCGATAACCTTCTTACTTACCAGTATCATGTCATCAATATCGCGGCGCCAGCCGCAAAATAGAATCTTCTCTGGTAACTTGGGTGGACTTACAACTCTCGGAAGAGAGCCCTTTCTTATCTGTCAATGAAAGGATAAATAAAAAACTTAGAGAGATCAGATAGTAAGAGATCCGTTTAGAACAGCAGAAATTCCTCGCTCCTTCAGAGATAATTTCGCAGGGTGCAGGGTGGAACTGGCCGCTATTGATCATGTAAAGTGTATTGAGTATATGATTATATTATACAGTCCTTATAAATTACGTAGTATTCCATGATTCACAGAACACGACAGAGTCTTACGACAGAGGGAAGAGAATCCCTTTCACATTCGTGACTCTTTAGGAAGGAAAAAGATGAGCGAAGAGTTCGACTTGAAGTTGATTAGCTCTAAAAGGAAAGGGTTACTGTGGCGACTCATCTAGATCGATTCAATCGTACCTTGGGCACTTCCGCAGGGCAGTAAGTGTCGTCGTCCTCGGCAATCACGAGCAGTTCATCCCCTTCAGCCATGACATAATCATCTTCAGGGTTGAGCACAATTTTTCCTCTATCGGCCGCCACTTTGACTCCACAGGGGATAGCATCAGGAAAGCTGAGTAATACTTGCTCAAATCGCTTTCCATCCAGCTCCGGCCATCTCTTTACGTAGAACTCGGCATTGTCAAAGCCAAGTATGTCTTCCCAAATCTGCATATTTCGACAATCACCAGTCTTAAGCTTACAGCTTCAACCACCTTATCGGAAAACAAAGCCAGAGCTGTCTGCCTGAGTTCCATACGGGACATACTCAAACTTGCGATCTGAAAGCCTCATGCCTGATCCTCATTTATGGTCACATTTCTTACTCCTGATCGATCAAATCAGCTCACTACAGATAACACGATCACAGAAAGTGCCCACAAAAAGTCTCAAACACGAACAGAAAGAAATTGGCACAAACAAGGGCTTGCTGAAGGTATAAGCTTAGTACGCCCAAAGTGGAAAGGTGTTGACAAAAACCTGAGCAAGACCCGGTTGGCGTGCACACTGGATCATAAGCCGGCCGATGACATCATGTGCAACAACAGTTTCCACAAGATCACCGCCAACCAGCTTCACCAACTGCTCGTTGTCCAGATCGCTCAGCTCCACTACAATATGACCTCGCAGCCCTTCCTTAACTCCTGTCAGGCTCAAAACAACTCGCAAGACTCGCGCATCACTCTGTATCAAGCCAGTTCTTTATTCAGCTTGCAGACATCGTGCATTGATTTCCTATAAAATTTCTTATCCTTACTGAAGGACACCGAACAATCGTCTATAAGAAAATGAGAAAACGACTTGACAGGTTTTTCAGGCTACTTTAAGCTTGGCAGATGGATTGCTAAATTTACATCTCAGCTCATACCAACAGAGGCATGGAAGTGTGATAAATTGATTGATTTCAGGGAAACCAACATATCAGAATCTTCCAACTACCTCCTCCGGTTGCATGACCCATGACTTTCTCGCCTGATGCATGATCGAGGAAAACCGTATAAGATTATGCCGGAGAAAATAGTTGACAGGCATTAAAACGACGACCTCAAAGCCTAGTTTTCAGAACTTCGGAAGATGGCATGCTCCATGTCGCGATTGAAAAGCATTCTGAAGGTTTACCTGGTCCGCATTTGCCACTTCTGCCAAAACGATGATAGCACGAGCTTTTGAAACAGAAACCTGCGAACTCACGAACCATTGACAAGCTATGAGTATCTGCACTCGAGAAAATACGGGAGCTGGCCTATGTTTAAGAGTCTCAAATCAAAAGGCTCCAACAGTGAAATCAACCTGGATGCTTACGCATGACATTAAAGGCCTTGACAAACCTTTTTGAGATCAGCCATTATCAGGGGACTGCCACTTCTACAGATGACTGAAGTCCCCATGAAGTCAAACTCCATCTTAGCGATGTCGAGCTCCATCTCCTCCTTTTCGCGCTCAGCCAGTACCACAACCACCCCTCCGCCCATGCTCTGGTTCGCTATGGAAAGCTGTTTCAAAAGCGATCCCTGGAAAACAAAGAAAGTGCTATAAATTCGTTGGTCATACAAGGCAAGAAGAAGCCTAGCTAAAGCCTCTCTTTTTCTCTTCGTGTCTGGCCATTGATGCGAAAGATAATGCCTGCATGTTATGCATATCCTTCTTATATATGTTTACACATATTTCAGTGGAATGGGAGTGAACGCGAGCCAGCAAAGGCTGCTATAACCTAAGACTCCAGGATGTGTCAGTCTGCATGATCGCAGAGAGAGTTGAGGATGTTCTATAAGCGCACATCGATGAGGTACCTAGGGTCTTCGATACTACATGTCATGCTGAGGTGAGACCCTGGTATAGGGACTGACCTTTGTGGTCTCATCCGTTTTCCAAACCTGGGTACAAAGACATAGGTCACACATTTGAGAGGCACACCACTGAGCTGGGGAATCGTGATACAATTATCGGACGGTACAAATCAATTACAGACTGAAGGGGTTGATCAGCTTACTCGCTTGACAGAGAAGAGAACATAACTCGGAATAAGACGTTAGTAGAGAAGCCTAGCTTCACAAGCGGGGTCTAAGGTTGTAGGATTAAACTTAAGCCACTCCTTTCTAGAGTAAAACGCCATCGCTCTCTACTTCGGAAAGAAAAAGAAAACAGGCAGGAACAAGGGGAGGAACAAACTTCAACTGGTATATAGGAGTAGCTTACCAACTTGTCACTCCAGCCGAGGATGAGCGTGTGGTTGCTTTCGATGACTTCACTTTTCCCTTTGCGCAAAGAGTCCACCTTCTCTGAAATGGCATCTGAGACAAGGCCTAGCATTAGCGCGAAGATGAGCATTCCTCCGAAGCTGATGCAGAGTGAGACGACTCGTGGTCCGGTCCCTACACTGTCAGCGTGATTTCCAGCATCCGCTACGTATGTCCATGCCCGCCACAAGGCTTCCCCCCAGGTATCTCCACTGACAGCAAAAAGAGCAACCCCTCCGAGACCTATGAGAAGAATGGTTGCGAAAAGCAGGGCCAAAGGCTTGAACAAAGGTATGGTGGAGAACAGAACGTCGACTCGGTAAGCCATTCGTTTGCTCAAAGGCACTTCTTCTTCACCACTTCTGTTGTCTTCACTCAACCTGGGAATCCCATCCACGTACTTGAAGATCCAGAATGGAGAAGTCAGGCAAAGAAGTGACACGAGAAATGCAAACTTTCTAATTGCCTGGTATGCAACATCACCGTCATCAGGTTCTTCTCCTGTCTCCGCCTCCTCTTTGGACGGATATAGATGAACTCCTACAGAACACCCATGTACTTCCTCCCTGAGCTTGGCATTTCGCTTCTGCCAAAGTAGATGAACAGATAAAAATGATTCAGAAGGAGAAAATTCCGAAATTTCACTTATGCTTTAGAAAAAGGCAGTAGTCCCTAGAGCTTCTCAAAGCCAGAATAACGTCCGCTGTGGGAAGCTATCATTTTTGCAGCTACAGAGCTGGAAGTGAATGCAAAATCTATGCTCGTGCTCATCATGAACGTACTGGTGGGAACTCGTAAGAAAATTCTAGTACAACTTAGAGATTTCCCGAACATTGTCACTATTGATGGAAAGACTCCTTGAGAAAATTCTGCAAGAGGTCCTCATTACATCCTTATTAAATTCTGTCGCTACCCAAAAGACGGAAACAGCAGTCTCTTGACCGTTGTCTTCACTATCAAGCTGGCTTTGCAGAACTGAACCACTTTTCATCAAATGCTTCGGTTGAGTCTCACCTCCAAAAGCATGACTTGTTCGTTCATGATAATACCGTAGAGAACCGACAAGACACAAAGAAGGAGTAGCTGCCATCGTACAAAGAACGACAGATCAATTTATACGAAACTTCAGAACATTCAACATGACGGTCTATGCTAAAATTTCTTCACCCCAAACGAGTCAGCTAGAAATGATCTAAAAAAAGAACCAATCACCGTATCCTGCCGAGGAGGCCTAATCACGAAAGGTAATAGAATTCCGTGCCTCAACATTCAAGTAAGTTCTTACTTCCACATCTGAAAAACCTTGATAATTTCCATAAGTCTCCTACATGTGAACGTCAGAAACAAGAACTCTGGTCTGCCAAACCTACCAGGGAGCTCAAAGCCATTCATAAAGACTGACAGGGCACTCACAGCAATACAGGCTTCAAGAACACTGGCGAGAAAGTAGACTGGTCCCACATGATGATTTACTGCCACGAAGTAATGAAAAATGCAACCATCACCAGAGCCATGCATCCTCAAAGTCTTGAAGGCATGTCACAATAGTTTAAGGTAAAATACTCTCAACTTCCACGAATCTGCTCTCAGGAAATTCCACACAAAATAATCAACAAAATTCAAAAGATGCTAAAAATTCAAAAACTTAGCGTCTTTCGATCAGCGATATCGTTAAAAATTCTGACACATCTAGAAGATATCACTCATGAAACAACTTCCAAATTCTTAAAAAGCAATGGCACGGAGAGCGGTGAGACACATGGCACGAGGATGTTACCACAACAACGAATAGTGAGGAACATAGCGACCGATGTCGAAGACAAGAAGACATGGAGAGGTTTGAACGAGGTCTTGGTGTAGAGCAAGTATTGCTTCTATTCGTTGAGTCTGGCTCACCATTGTTGTGGCTCCCACCAGCCTCATCAGAGAAAACATTACCAGCACGAACCCCTGGAGAACGTTCTTCTCGGACATCCTGTAAAGCCCCGACAACCTGTCGACGTTTCCGAAGATTACTACTACCTACATCAAACTTTTGCAATTCAGGTCTTGCCCTTATGATTGTGCTAGTACTACTGAGGCTGCTGCTGCTACTAGTACTACTACTGCTATTACTACTACTACAACGATTACTCGGAGAAGCAGAGCCTCTCAGTGGAGCTGCAAGGGCACCAGCACCAGTGGCGTGTTCAGGGTTGTCCAAACTGCCACTGGACATATGGCCATTGATCAGTCTTTGCTGACGCAAAGCACTTGCTGCTCCTGTTCTCTGTGTTTCCGTGGGCCGAGAGGGCAATTGGTCAAAACTGTCACCGTCAAACTTTCTCGGCACCCAAGAATTTCGTTTCTCCTGAGCTAAATCCAGCTCCCCTGACAGTCTCCGCCGAAGGTCTGGTGTATCATTCCCACCGGCTTTCAGTTTCAAGATAGCAAGTTTGTCGATTGACGACTGCAATCTCGTAAGCCCCAGATTCCCTGAAATTCCTGCCAGTAATGTCTCAGTGCGCAACTCTCCTCCTAAAGCACCACCACTACTGGTAGTCGACCGCCCTCCTAGATTAGTTGCCCGATCGGGTAACAAATCGAGCTTGCTTCCGTTCCGTGCACTGAGTCTGTCATCTCCTATTACCAGACTGCTGAACCCACTGGACCCTTTCTGCTGGCCTTTGGAATCCGGACCCCCTGCAGCAACACCTTCGCCTGGTGGAGAGGCCGATGCTTCTCCTCCAGCTTTTGAACCATTTGATGATCCTCCTACACCTGGCCCACTTGGTGACGGCAATCCAGCACTCGGTGCACTGTGCAACAGCGTAACGGGGTTCGAAATCTGGGTGATAGAAGCAGCAGCAGCTGGTGCACTGACGTCCGGCTGATCCGTCGAGGAAATCGAAAGCGATCGTCTTGAATCAAAATTTGGGGAATTCAGACCTGAGAGCTCGTTTGATGTCTCCGTTTTGACACCTAAAGGAAGCTGACTGTCAATTCCTCGACCTATCGCAGAATGTTTATCGTTCTCGGCGACTTCGCCAGTGCCATTATTCCTCAGCATTCTCTGGTAGTGTTCAAGTAGTTCAAGTAGCCACACATGTCAGATCACTTCCTTAGAGGGGAACATCTTTTCTGAAACCAAATCTTAACGTAAGATTAAATCAAAATTGAAGTTGATGATGAACTCGAGTGTAAGAGGACATCATTAACAAAAACCTTGACTATACATGTCCACCCACCATCAGTTTCTCATTCAGCAAGTTTTATATGAGAATCTTGAGTCAATCTTCTCGGCAAGCTGATGCTGCTGCCTCCTATGGCTTCAGGAAACCTCCCAGTGAGGCGAATCTGCTCAAAATGGCAGAATTCCTGTGGCTCATTCTACTGATAGCAAGTAGAAGTACCAGGCTACTATCTACTATCCAGATGAGTAGTCATAAGAAATGCTATTCAAGAAGTTTGAACAACTCACGTCAACCCTGAGCTTGATGACGAAAAGGAGAAGAGGAGACAGCACCGTCCACAGGGCTTGGATAGAGGTCTTCTAGCTCAGGGAGGAGGGATTGAAAAAGCTCTTCAAATGTAGGAGTCACATTGCGATGGATCTTGGGGTGATTAGGAACACGAAAGGTGATGATTCAAGAGTAATGGGACATGTGACGGCGAGCCAGATTCACCGATGTACAAGACAGCCAGGAGCCTTAAAACGTTTGGAGATCTTTAAACAACTTATGGGGCAGCAATCGGATCTCAAAAGCCTCTAAAACAGATCAGTTGACGACATCTCACCCTGCAAGAATTGGACGCTGCCTCTGTAGGATGCAGGAGGAGACGGAAATGAGGTGGACAGGGAGGGAGGTGTGATGGCTCTCCCCTCTCTACAGCAGTGCCAATTGAGTTGTCTCAGGCCCAAGTCCAAACTCCACACTGCAACGTCGAGTAGAGAGGGAACGAAGTGAGGCTCCTTCATTCAGCGAAAAAGGAAAGAAGTACCATGAGGTCAGAGTGCCAGCGACTCACTGTTGACGGTCGAGGGAAGAGGAGCAGAAACAAAAGTTAACAAGGAAAAAAATTGGTTGCACACATCTTGTGGCAGGTCCAGGATAAGAAGAGCAAAGAGATCCGCCCTACTAATACAACTTTCTACAGTGCTTTACGAACGTAGATCATATAAATTAGTCATTTTGCTAGAGTATTTAATGTCTAGTGTCAGAGAATTCAGACAGGACAACGTACTTGAGCACAAGCGCTTCAGGCATATAGCACTGTACATACCGAATTCACTCATGTGTGTCAATATAAGACCTTGTGTCAGATCTCAACTGGCTGCTGTACAATTTCAATGGACCCCAGCTCCGGGCCCACACCTTCCTTGGCAACCTCAAACCAATCTTGCAACTGGTAAAGTTCCCAAGACCAAGCAGTGGTAGTGTTTGCGCCCCTTACAAATTCACTGGACCGGAAACCCAATCGGGCTTTCGCCCATCCCTCTTCTTAGCATCTGGAGAAAGCAATAGCTTCTGTCGCTGCAGAAAGAGAATGATTCTAGCTCGAGGCCTCATTCATCCACTCCTCTGAGCTCTTGCACCCCCACGAACTTTTCTCGATATGTGGACTCCCATACCAAATTCCTGCAAACGCAATCATGGCGATCGGATAGAAAACTGGCCCTCATGTGGCTGCCCTTTACTGTTTTGGCTTAGCTGATGTTGCGAACATTTTGAAGTTTCGCACCAACGAGAATGATGTGTACCTACCAAACGGAATTTCTTCCTACCCTGGACGACCAACGATTGGAATCGCATAATTCTCGCTGGCAGTCGTCATGTGTACAGATCTACAGTCGTGGCTAAGAATGGAACGCTGGACATTTCTGCAGCCCTCTTCTGGCCTCAATGAGGAGGGAGTGGGGGTCGCAAACAAGAGATCCATGAACGAAACTTTATACGGGTCAAGGAGAAAAAGAAGTGCACCGCAAGTCTACAGTAATATCCATTCATCTCCTACCGCCTGTTCGAGAGCAGAATCAACGAGGGTGGAAGAATATAACTTGGACAATAACAGCTCTAATAAACAGAGCAAGGCAAACTGTAAACAAATGCTACTGATCAGGGCACGATGCATCAAATTGATGAGGTTACAAAGTCAGCTCTCGGAAAGTTATGCCAAGTCTGACTAATTTGCACCAAATTAAATCCAACCGTCTTCCCATCAGAACGGGAGAACATTACAACCTCCATCCTCGCACACCTGCATGTCCAACGATATGGAACAAGACTAAGCAATTGAAGACATTTTGTGCCTCCTTCGGGTATGTAGGCCCTTACATTTTCTGACAAAACATGTACAAGGTCCAGTCCAAGGTGGATATGATGCACTAGGACGGGGAAGAAAAATACAGAAAGCCGAATGCACGTCGTCATACCGATGAAATAAAAAGTCAAAGTTTTAACTGTACATGATTCATCTCGCCTGTCGAATGATGAGCTGGGAACTGAATTTCTAGTAGGGATTTGACAAAACGATCCGATTACCACAGGTGCAAAAATCAAGGTGAAGAAAATTCTGCATAGGACTTAAACGAGAGCACCCGCTGAGAAGGTTCCCAGCTCGGCAAGGAAACTGCTCGCCGGGTGCATTAGCGCCTTCTTTGGTGAGGCATTATTAGGCTGAGAACACGGTGCAGGTAGGTGCAATGGAGTGGGGGCCTAAGCCATAACCCTTGCTTACACCGGTCGCGTTGGATCATTTGTTCGGCTCGAACGGTGAAGCAAAATCCAATCAGAATCCTAACGGTTTGCTCGTCTTGCCTTCTTCTTGCCCCCTCTCCTCCTCCTCCTTTCCAGGACCAAGAGGTTCCCATTCTTCCAGAATGTTCTTCCCTTTGTGATGGTGATGAGTTCCACATGTCCCTGTGCACCCTTCCTTCAAGTTATGCTCCCTCTCTGCTTGGCCCAAAATCAAAAGTCTACTGATGAAAGTATACTGCAGTTCTGGAGAGAAGACTCGTTCATTTGCAAGTATGCATTCCCACGATCGATGTTCTGTTCTGTTTTCCTACTTGGCTCCAGAACACCTCAATGTCTTTTTCCTCTTGCTCTTGTACCTACAAAATCTGGTGGGCTTGGCTGGCTAACCGCATCTCGTTGTCTTGTTGCGCATGTTGTCGATCTTCTGTGACTCCGTCCTCTCGTTGCGTTATATTTTATCTCTCAGTTCTTCCATGAATCGCATGACTTCTCTCCTTCCAGAAGATCCAGGAATTCTGGCGCGGTCTTCATCTCCAATTTCTGTCAGATAGTGTTTCGTCTCTCATTGATACAAATCTCTTCTCTCTGTTATACGCAGTGCAAATCGAACACCGGGCGTGATTCTGGAGCTTCTCGCTTTGGTTTAGTTGGTGTTGTCTCTGGGATGAGAAGGTAAAGGAATGTGCTTCAGCTTCAGTTGTTCCTTGCTCTCAAGAATCCTGGTCGTCCTTTGATGTACGACAGCAGCGATCAATTCCCCAGGAGAAGCTGGACAGCATTCCCTTCCACGAGAATGACATTTTCCCGTGATTATGAAAAAACCTTTCGGCCCAGCGCGTTTATTCTTCGGAGGTAGGACAATCACAAGGCGGAATTGGCGAAGGGGATGATCCACTTCCAGCGTTTGTGCAGAGAAGGAGGGCTAAAGGGAGCAGCAAACCTCCATCCATGAGCCATCTCGGCAATCAGTTGGGCATACAGAATGAGTGCGTTGAACTAATTGTCAAGTGTTGGCGACGGCATCGACCACAGAGATGGGACCGACAGAGATGGTTATGTTCATACAAAGGCACGTCTTGAAAACAGGCTGTCCGAGTGCCTCTGTGCTACGGTAATTTTACACGTAAAAATCTTACATGAACACGAAACACAACATGCATCCAGGTGAGATAATCCTTTTGCGTGTGCTCTATGATCCTCGTGGTCGATCCTGAGCGTGAATCGACGTGTCATGTACACAGAAGGTGCGAATCCGAGAATGCGCCTACCACTGGTAAAACTCTGTCACTAGCAGCGTCATTTTGATCATCATTGTCATCAGAAGCTACTAATGCTTCTGCTTCGGCGGCTGAGGCTTAGAATCCAAGGTCCCTGCGAGGAAACATGCCAGAGGTTCGGATCCTCGAGGTGCTGCTGAAGTCACAAGCTGAAACGGAGCCATCGAGCAGCTGTGACATATACAACGGAAGTCGGCAGGTCAGGCGAGAATCTGCCACTCTCATTCCTTCCTTCCTTCCACTCTCGTCGGCTCTTGTTCCAATCCCAAGAGTTGTATCTACACATCGTCATGTGTAGCACCAGCACCTCCGAGTGGGGCATCCATGGATGAGTCGGCATCGAGCGGCGCATTGCGACTCAATCCACCGCAATTGCGAAAGAGTTCGGTCGTCTGCTACGCCAGTTGAGAGAACTCGGGTCCAAAAAGGCCTTCTACAACTGCAGATTTTGGGCGGCGAGGGGAGAGCGAGGTCCACAAATGTCTCTGCCCCATCGATCCATCCAAAAAGGCATGCCAAAAGGGCGATCGATCGCCCTCGACTTCAGGCAAACGTGCAGGCGCGAAGATGATCATACGCACATCCTTCGATGAAGAGATAAATTCAGATGCAAAGAAGAAAGCTGAATGAGAAGTCCGGATGAGTCCGAGGTCGAGAATTCGGGGAGGAATCAAATCAGGAGTAATCCTCGTTGTCGAAGGCGAATTTCATGTGGCGGTCCTTGATGAGCTGCAGGCGGTGCGCGCGGGCCTCGGCCATGGTGAGGCCGCGCTTAGCGCGCGAGATGATCTCGTCCAGAATTTCGACGGGGAGGCTGCGGCCGATGATGGCCTGCGCGACCTCGTTTAGGGCAGCGCGCTGCTGCGGGCGCAGCTTGTCCCACTGCTGCTCGTGCACGTCGCGCGTGGACACGATCTCCACGTCCGGGTCCACGAGGAAGAACATGAACGTCTTTCTCACGCCCACCTCGCTCTCGCTGTCGTTCACGATGCCCGACACCTTGTGCTGCAGATTGTTGGGGAACACGAGCAGCCGGTGCTCGAGCGTCGGCACCGACGCCACCAAACTGCGTACGCGCAGCCACTCACGCCGTCGCAGGCTAGCCAGGCGACCGCGGTTGGAGCGGGCGTCGCGCGGTAGCTCCGGTAGCTCCGGCAGGTGCTCGACGTCGTCGGCCAGCTCGCCCTCGGGCGTGGGGTTGAGCTCGCGGTCGCGCCGGTAGGGCCGGAACTCGAGGCCGCCGTCCTTGAGGCAGGCCGAGGTCGAGTAGTAGTAGAGCCCCGAGGCCACGATGTGCTCGTGCGCCAGCCCCTCCACGTGCCACACGCCCTCGTACATGTGGCCCTTGGGCTGGATGACGTAGTTGGCCGCCTTGACGATGACCTGCAGCTCGCGCCCGCGCAGCTGCTTGCCTGGCAGAATGTTCTCGAACATGGGCAGGAACAGCTCGAACATCAGCTCGATGGCCGTGTACAAGTCGGCGTTCGTCTCGCCGTCCAGGTTGTTGACGTAGGACTTGATCTGGACCGACCCCTTGGGGCTGACGTGGAACTGCGACGGCAGCCACTGGTACTTGGACTCCTCGTCGTCGCGGCGCTGCTCGAACTCGCGCTCCAGGCTGCCGTGGTCGCGGTGGCGGAGGAGGTCGCGAGGACTGCAGTTTTGGTACTTGGTGGTGGCGGGGCACGTGGTCGGGTCCTTCACCGGGGACAGGCCCTCGATGTAGGAGAAGAGCGACGGGTGGATGAGGTCCTGCACCATGTGGTCCGTGCCCGGGTGGAAGTCCTTGTGCGGCTTGTTGGCGATGGCGTCCAACCGCGTGAGCAGGACGTGGCGCAGGTACGTCGGCACCACGTTGTCGATGAACCAGATCCCCTTGCCCTTCTGGTTCATGGGCTCCCTCATGCGCCGCCTCACCTCCGCCTGACTGGCGCCGATGGACCGACGCAGTTCCTCGAAGTCGATCACCGCGTCCACGGGGATCGGCGGCGGGGGCAGCATGAGCGCCCACTCGCCCAGCCCGTCCTTCACGTAGATCGCTGCACAGCACACGCGTCGTTAGATCTCCGGAGCGCGAGCCCTCATCCGACGGACGCGCATCATTCTCAGGGTCCAGCGAAATTGCGAACTCGAATCTCGACGTGGTCGAGCGGCCGAGAGACAGTGGCCGAGAGAAATCGACGAATTGCGAAAGTGGAGATCTGGTCGGGACCGACTCACCGTAGCTGACTTCGGACCCACGGAGCGAATTCACGTCGGGCATGTAGCCGTTGCATGCGAGCCAATCTGAACGAGAGCACGAGCTTGGTCTAGCGACGAATCGATGGGGACATGACAAAGACTTGCGTGCACATTCGTGAGTGAGTGAGTGAAGACATGTCAAATTGCTTCTCTCCGCTCTCCTTCGACTCGAACCACTCCGACTCTCTCATTCGGACCCACCCTCACAATCACCATCGCTGCAATGCCTGACAAGAGTTGGGGGAATGGACGATAGATATGTCTGGCATGCAGAGACAGCCTATACACAGTTAATACTGCCCCAAAGCTTCCGAGGGGGAATGGAATGCATGATGCGATCACGCTCGACGTGCAGAACTGCTCAGACCTGTGCTAGTGCATCATCCTGGCTATCTTTGGTTTTCTTTCTCAATCTGGGTCCACACTTCTCTCGCAAACATTTGCAGTTATCCATAATCCCATGCCTGCACGCAGACAGACTGAAGAGTTCATCCACGCACAAGAAGAAATCAACACAAGCTGCAATCCGCTCACCCATTCACTTACAAGCTCCGATCTAGGCCATTCACAAAAGATCCACACTCTCTCTCTCTCTCTCTCTCTCTCTCTCTCTCTCACAAAGAGAAAGATCTTATTAAAGACCAAGAGATGAAATGAAAGGAGATTGTTGTTGTCGGAGGCATTTGCAATCCACAGGCACCACAGCTGTGCAGGTGAGCGGCAATGAATCTCACCAGGGCTCTCACTGGTGGAGTCGCGCGGGCCCATGAGGCACTGGTCGCCATCGAGGCCCGGCAGGCCCTTGCGGCGCCGGCCAGTGATCCAACCGAGGTTCTCCTTCGGGTACCAGCACGCCTTGAGAACCCTCGGAATCATGATGCTCCGTGCTACAACTCACCGAGCACGAGCACGAGCACGAGCGCGGGTGTTGCTTGCTACACAACACCGTCGAGCTTCTTCTCTAGCCTCCTCCTCCTCTTCCTGATGGACCAGCAACGAGTCCTCGCATTCCAGCCCAATCGCATGAGTTCGCTCTAGCCCCTAGCAGCCGGCCACATCGACTGCACTCCACATCTGTCCATCGATGTGATCTACACTCCACTCCTCCCCACTACTCTACTCTACTCTACATAACTCGAGAAACGAAACGAAACGAAACTCCAGAGACCAATTCCCTCCCTTTAAGTACGACCCTGCCCAGAATCTCGATCAGACTCAGCCGAGACCGAGATGGCGGAGGGAGAGAGAGAGAGAGCGAGAGAGAGAAGGAGAGAGAGAAAGAGAGAGTGGAAGAAGTCTCAGGGGCCAGAAGATCGATCGATGCCAAAACCCGGCGACGAGCTCTCATCAGCAGTGAGCGCTCCTGTGCAGCATGTCTCTCCGGAACCGGAGCGTTGCTACAGAGGACCCATCATCGCCCGCCCGGGTCGACCGCATCCGATCGTCGGGTGATTGACTGATTGACTGAATGCCTGACTGACCGACCGAGCGGGGCAGCGATCGCTGTTGTGGCTCTTGTGGCTGGTGCTGGTGGTGCCACCAGCATCCGAACCTTCGTGCGAGAGAGCGAGAGAGAGAAAAAGAGAGAGAGAGAGAGAGAGAGAGAGAGAGAGACTCTGGATACGAATGACTGTCTCGGGATCCGACCCTCGCTCGCAGTCATGCGCTGGCCAGTCGTCGTCGATCGATCAGCCGGCTCGAGCCCTGGACTCGTGTCCCACCGACTGCACACGCCGCCACTGTGCGCGGGCACGAACGCGCTTGCTCTGCTCGTCCTGACCTGCCCTGCCCTGCCCTGCCTTGCCTTGCCTTGCCTTGCGCTCGAAGCTGGTTCGGGGCCGGGGAGATCCGTCTCGAATCTCGCAGGTTCTCCTCGTCCCGATCCCTCCCCCAGCCTTTGATCGCAAGCTCGGACTCCAAACGCATCGCTCTATGCTTTATGCTGCCTACAGTCTTCTCTCCCCACTTCCTGCGCATCGCATCGACGCCTTCTGCATGTCCCCGCCCTCTTGCTCTGCTCTGTTCCGCTCCGTTCGTTGTCACTTGGCAATCATTAACTGTCCACCATGCACGTCCGCCCCAATTGCTTCATCTTCCTCATCTACTAATTTCAGGGCATTAATGCATGGACTGCGTGCGTGCGTGGGTGGGTGTATGGTGACGATCTCATGCTCTGCGGCTGTTAATTGAATTCATGCGTTCCACCTGAGTACGTTGTGCTCGGCATGAGCCAGAGCATGCCGAGGACGACGACGTGCCCACCATTGACACTCCTTCCTTCCTTACGGGTTCTGACATTTGTCTCAATTCGTTCAAGGTTTTATATTGACGCAGAAAACCGCTTCCCGCTTTGTTGAAATGAAGTGGAACGAGTCCACAAGCATTCATTACTGCACTAGCGAGGCGACCCTCATCTTGATTATGAGAAATTATTATTGTTATAAGTGCACAAAGCATCAGCAAATTGAAATTCAGGTACTTATGGAATCCAAGTGCCAACAGATGACAAAGAAAATCGAAATGAATGGATTGTAGCTACCATGCTGTCTAGTATGGCGGTGCTGATAATTAGCCCGCTGGCTGCCTGCCTGGATGACTATCTGGCCGGATGAGCTATCCACACCAGGTGCATGCACAATCTACCTGAACGTCATCTCTCTCAAGCTAAACTTGTGCAGAGTCGATAAGTTAGCAGTAGAATGAGACGTGGAGGATGAGAATTCCGGCACAGTTTCGTTGAATTCCGATAAGCATGCGGAGTTTGATGCAGAACACTATGCTGACTAATGGCGTTCACTTTTTCAGGTCTCCCATGAACGCGCTATCTCCCAGACCCAGACCCAGACCCAGAGCCTCTTTATTTTGTCCATCGAGACTCTGATTATTCTTTTTCCTCAGATAAAGCAGCAGCAGCAGCAGCGACGTCTCGGTTCACGTGCAGAGCTGAAGAGTCGAGGGCTGAAGAGTGAGAATGGAGGAAGGGAGGAAAGGAGGGAGGGAGGGAGGGTTCGGTCCTACGGAAGCTGAGAGAGGAGATTAGACCGAACGTGATGCGCATGAGAAGAGGGGGTGCAGCAGCAGAAGCAGCAGCTAAAATAAGGCCGGAGACAAAAGCTAAATATAATCTGAAGGGGATGGCGCTGATGAGTCGACCATGTGACTCGTGGCATAGCCGCCACAAGGTGGTCGCTAAATGGAGTAAGCTTGCCATGGTCGTCGAAGTCTTGCGCCTCTGCACCAGCCTGTCGAGTGAACAGCGATTGCTGGCCCTGGTTGCTGCGTCCTCCAACGATTCTGCCTTCGCGAGCGCTGAGAGCCGAGCACTGCCCACATTTCCTCCCCCAGCCCTTGCCCTCGAGATCAGATCCCCTTCCATCCCATGACTCAGGACCGTCTCATCCCAGACGAGGCACACCGTCCAACCTACTCGCCTCCAAAAATCCAGCATATTTCTCGTTTATATATTCGCAGCAAAACAACAAGATCTGACCTCGTTTCCTAATCATTGACTGCCACATCAAAGTTCGTGTTTTGTTCCCGTAAACTCCTTTTCTGCTTAAGCATGAAACCAAAAATTGGGAATTTCTCTCATCACCATCACCATCATTTTCGCTGCAAAACAACAAGAGTTCCTAATCATCGACTGTCGCGTAGAATTTTGCCTTCAGTTTCTTAAAATTTATTTGTTTTCGAACAAATGATTATCCAGGCAGTGGAGTTCACCGATTATTATTTTTCTGGTGGTCATATCTAAGAACATTTAGACATTTGATCATTGTACTCGAATGAGAAATGCAAAGTACAGTGCAGTGTACTCAACCTGAGGATGCTTGGGTAAATTAGTTGAATGATAAGATCAAGAAATTTATTTCCTTTCGGAACTTATGGTTTAGTGAGATGGAGTGGGACAGAGAGAGACCTGTGGGCCGGAAGGATTGTTGGCACAGTCAAAGGGTCCGCAGGGGAGTTGGGTAGAATTTTCCTGAAATGGCAAGGAGGACCGAGCGATTGAGTGGATGGATGGATCCGATCCCATGCAGCGGGAGAGGAGACGAGAGACAAACTGTTGTTGTTGTTGGTGCTGCTGCTGCTGCTGGTCCCATGAACTGGGAGAGAAAGTGGTTGCTGTCGTTTGTGGGAGTCAATTCAAAGGCTATGTCTGATCCTAATGTCAAACTGGCTCTTCCCGGCCCTCAAAGATTCTTCCGCGCTCATGTGGATCAAGAGATTCTTTAGGACATTGAATCTTCTCTCTCGTTGCTCTTTTCGTCGACCTTTCGCTATTTGTACCCGCCCCTTTTCACTGCTCGCTCACATAATTACTTCCTCACTTATTTACTGGAGTCTAGATCGATTGGCCTCCACATTCATCTCACCGTCCTATGACTCACCTGCACTACAGTCCAGCCGCTGCCAATCTTGCTCTAAGCAGATCAGTGACGGAATCCCTTGCCTCCGCAGCAATCTGCTTCTGCTGTGTGAGTCCAATATTCGCACTTCTTGCCCTCCCCTCTGTCCATCACCATCACCATCACTCTGCTTTACTCCTTGCTTCTGACGACATATACTTGCCTTTCTTAATAATACCCGGAATCTATGAAGATGTAAACTAGCTGAATTTGCTCATGCCGCTGTGGGTTGATTCTGATTCCATGATACGGCGATTCGGTCGGTTGGCCCCAGGAGTGCGGGAGAGAGAAGAAGAGAGAAGAAGAGCAGCTTTTGAGGGCAACGAAGGGAAAATAGGAGGAGGAGGAGGAAAGGGACACAGCAAGAAGAGACCGAAATCAGAAGGGTGCTGGAAATGGAAGACTGTGGTATGAATGAAGGAAGGAACAAATGGTGGACAACGCAAGGGAGAGACGAAGTTGTTCTCCGAACTTGGACTGATGTAAGAAAGTGTAATCGATGCGCAGTGATTGTGGACATGCATATGCACTTTGGGAATCGTCGACAGCGAGCAAGAGAGAAACATCACTTCTCAAGCTATTCTCCAAAGAAAGGAATGGGGGAAAAGAACAAACCCTTGCCGTGCGTCTCCGGAAAAGCTAACCCAACCCCAACAAAGTGACTGATCCCGATTGGAACCCATTCATTGCTACATTACTCCACTGCACGGGCCAGGCCAGGCATATCACGACTGACTGACTCTTCAAATTTTGAGAGCCATAACTCTTTCCAGACAGAGGAGGAGCTGGGCAAGATTGCTTGGCACCATTGCTTCCTCTTCCGACCCACAGACACACAAAATTCAGGCTCACCGTTTCCAGTCTCCGCAAACTTGAATCATCACCACTTTGGCCTCCTGCAACTCCGTAAGGACTGGACTTACAGATTCACGGAGTGACTGATGACTGATGACTGATGGATGGCCACCGCTCGCATCCACAGAATAATAATCCGTGCAGCACCGCCACTGTCCTGTGCGAGAACATGTCTGGGCCAAAATGGCCCTCGGTCTACTCGTCCTAGAGTCCGATATGGGCGCTCATGAAGCAAAGGTAAGAGAAACGTGACTGGGTTTCACTCACTCACTCGCGCCACAGTCACCAAGTTCGCTCGGTGGTGGTTGCAAGGCCCCAAAAAATAATCAGCGAATGAAGTAGTAGTAGTTTATTCGCTCCGTGCCGGTGGGTAGGATGCAACAGTGCGTGTACGTGAACGGGTGCACCCTGCCCGGCCCAGACACTGCTGCACAGAGCTTGCCTCCTTTGGCCTGCCTGCCTTCGCCGATATAACAGGACCGGCTCCGCACACCATTCATTGCGATATTCCACACACTCTGCGAGCCCCAGAGAAATAGAAAAGAGAGAGATAGACAGAAAGCCAGGCAGGAAACGAAGACTGTCGGTACTTCCATCCCTCGAGAAATTTGACACTCCAGGTTGACAATTGATTTCCCACTTTCCTACTTTTCGACTCGACTCGGAACCATGAGGTTGATTCCCAGGAAGAAGAGAAGCTGGTCGGCTGCCACCGTCGTAGTCAGAATCATTGAGAGCTTAGCTCGGCGTCTGAGGATCAAGAAGCGGTGAGTGGCAGAATGTGGTCGTGTTTCGTCGATGCGGAGAGGTTTGAGCTGGATTTATTATGTTGGGTCTGAAGGAAAGTCTCGGTCCATCCCGCCTGTCAGAAGGAGGTCGTGTCGTGTGGTTGATTAGCATGCCATTCTCCTTAGCTTTGCTGTGGAGTGAACTTCGGCGGCTCCACTTTGAGACAGAACTTTTCATCAATCTCTAAGTGATGATCAATTGTCGCCATAGTCATTTCGAGGCCTTCTTCTTTGAAACGTAGCAAAGTGGCCAGTTCTGCTTGTGTCACTTGGCAGCTATGCTTCCTTTTTAGCACTTCTAGCCTGTCTATCGAGGTCCTCAGTTCCTCAGGTGCTGGCACAGTGCCTCAATTGCTGACAGCAGTGCTCACTGTTTATTGGCCTAGTGAACACTAATAGTTTCAAGACAGTTCCAGAGTCAGGGTTTATCTTATGAGAATTGAGATTGGAATCTGCAGTTATACATATTATCCCATACCGCCACAAACTCTCAGGTTGAACTTTTACTGACTGTGAGAAAAGATGGTTGACAACTTGCTGTACATCTTCCTCATGCTCGAACCCTTTTAGAATCAACTGGTATTGATTTCTGCTCTAATTTACCCTCCTGTCTGTGTCTTTTTTTCTCCCGCGGAAGCTGTATAATATAACTCATATGCATTTCCTCTTCAATTGCAAGGAGCAGTTCGTACTCCCTCGCCATGTTCATATTTCTCCAGAGATGTTCAAAATTGATACATAGAGTACTTACAACATTCGACGTACCCGATTTTACATGTTACTAAATCACGTCATGAAACCGATCATTTATAGACTGGATACGATGAGAAACTTTACTCACATCCAACGTGGGGTCTCAAATTTTAGTGACTGAAGTCCACTGGTTTTGTTGGTCTATAATCATGAATTTTATGATATGAGACTGTGAGTGTTGAGTGTTCATCTGCAGCTGGAATCGAGTGACCTGATCATCTTTGCTTGACTGCCTGCAGAAAGGAAGAAGGGTCGTACAAAAAGCGCAGCTTACAAGAGAATCTGCAGAGTATCGATTAGCGACAGGCACAGATCGATCTGCTTCAGTCCACGCCGATGACCGAGGGGGAGTTGGCTAAGGGATTGATTTGCAGCTCGATCAAGATTTGCTGCTTGAGCCAGTCCAAGTCATGTCGAATCAATCCTGCGAGTTCCACCAGAACAGGAAGAAAATGCGGGCTCCTTGGATTGGCTATGGCAGAATACTGCAGTTAAACGACGGCAAACCATGTCCTCTCGTCCACGTTGTAACCATGCTCCTCCCAAAACCCTTCGCCATGCCCTCAAATATTCAGCACTAGTCCACACTCCCACAAACAGGACTTCTACTGAGAGTTCCCAACGCATCAATCCCCCACCATGGTCGTCCCTGTGGCCATGCAAGCCGTCCAGACTTAAGGGCCCCTCGACGCTCTTCTATGTTACTTTTAGATCAGAGGTTTGGTTCTGTCCGGTGGTTTCATGGCTCAAAGGGACGAACAAGAAGCTGAGGAATGATTCATCCTCGACGCTTCTCGAGTGTTTCGGGATCCTGCACTCTTGCCTCCAGCGACATGAGATGTGGCAGCAGACGATGACGATCAGATCCAACGCAGTCCATTTCGGTCGTTGCAGTGAGACCAATTCTTAATCTGATTCAGCTGTTTTCCATTCTCTTCTATTCCTCCCACGCCGCCGCCTTTTGGTCCTCCCTTTCCGACATCAATTCTTTGATTCACTCTGATCGAGGGGATCGACATTCCTCCATCCAATCCTTCACTCTCGATTACTCAATTCATTCCCCACTCAAAGCTCGTTCACAAATTCGTGAGTTCACTTTCGATTTCAGCCTTCTTCTCTTCCATCCACTCTGACACCATCTCTGTACAGTCTGCCACATTAAATATACTATCAGTCCGTCCTTGTCCGCCCACTCGTCACTGGAGCATGCAAATGTGGATATCATTGCATTGACCTGTCGACCTGTCGCGGCAATCAGCTTCTTCTAGTTGGAAACTCAGGTTCTCCGAAGTTCTGGTCCATCTATGAGAAAGGAAGGCGAACTGGAACCGGAGGACGTAGATGCTCAAGATGTAGAAAGAACAAAATTGCTTCGACATCTCTCTTGCAATGTATGACCGACTGACTACATATGCCAAACAACTCGCGCACTCCTTTTCAAGACCTGCATGACTGCAGTTCGAAGCTTGGGTGGCATCGATCGACTGAACTCTTCTACTCCATCGTACCTTCCTCCAATGGCGGTGCAGTCCAATCGCATCCACTGGTTGAAGAAGACAAAGAAGAAGAAGAAGAAGAATTGGAAGGGCCAATTTTCAATGGACCTTCCGGATCATTTCGAGCGATGCTTGAGGGCGTTTCAGATGGACTCTGAATGGATGACCCGATTATTTTATTCAGGAATGGATTAGAGACATCAGATTCACTCTGAGCTCCTTCGTCCCCATTTAGACAAAATCATATGCAGATAACTTCTTTGAGATCCTTCTCGATAGTTGACAGTTCTGAGCTGCAGATGCTGAGAAGCACGTCCTTATTCCCCAGTACATTTGGTTTCACCAAGAAACTGACCTGCAGTGGCTGGAGTTCAATCATCCCATCCATCATTGCAGATCAGCTCCTCGGAAGATCAGGCAGCAGACGAAGGATCACAATCGAGTGGGACCATAATAGTACTTGTAATTACTGTACAGAAGTAGTACCAGGCTTCTTTTTTCTAGTTCTAAGCACAATAAAGCACAGTCTGTAGACTGATGCGTGTACATAGATTCAATTATGAAAGAACAAACACGGTGGAATGGGTACATGCCCAATTTCCTGTACTACAGCTTCGTGTGCCTCTCACTACTCTCTCATCTTTCAACTTACAGCCGTGCCGACGCATACACTCCAGGACCCTCCATCCTTGTCGTGTGCCTCTGCTCTTCCTATGTTCTTAATCACACACAATCAGTTATTGATCGATGCTATTACTGCCATGGCTGGTTCCCCATTTTTGCAGAAGATTCCAGCATTTGCTTGGTCCGTACGTGGCAAGAGTTTAAAGGCATATGAGAAATCAGAATCTACGGAATTATGTGAGAAATTCTACCAATTCTCCCTGTGATTGCTTCGCTCGTAAGTTCACTACGGTCTGACTGACGTCCAGCACGAGCGGAATCGACTCATGAATCCGAGCAGAATCAAAGTCCACGTTTGATGCTATGCAGGAAGGATCTAGGATCTTCCATTGATTCAAGCTAGAGGAGAGTGACACCGGTGGCCTAGATCTCTCATGGACCTCGCTGTGAGGTCCATTGGCACACTGCAAGAATCATCGAGATATTTTTGGCGATCTCCGACCTCGACGATGCAAATTCTCCTCGAGGCTGAATGCGATGGATGACCGACGAACCTGCCGCCCATGAGCCGCGAAGACAGAAACTGTTCCTGCCCAGCACCGGGCCCGCTTGCCGGAATGTGCCGGACAAGAGCAGCACCAGCAGCAGCAGCACGAGAGGGAAGAAGCGTGCCCGCGACGGGTGTCGAGCAGGCCTCCACCGGGCGGCTACAAAAGGCACCATGGCCGGAGTTACCACGTCGGTGCATCGAGAGCACTGGGATTGGGATGGGGATGAGACGAGGGCGCCAATCCAGGTGGCGGCCACGACTTTTTCCAATATTCTCACCACAGTCCAACTGCCAAAGCAGAGCAGGTCGTTCTCGGCGGACAGACAGCCTGTGACTGGATTCTCGACCTCTTCGGAGTCGGTTGGGGTGTCCGGTACAATGTGCTTGGGATTTTGAGCCCGCTCCACCTTCTTCCAGCTTGGCATCTCGAGCCCGGTGGAGAATTTTGAGCTACTGCCTCATGACCCTAGAAGACTATGTCATGCGCTCGTAGGAGAAACTCCCATTCTGTCCCCACTCCCCTTCCTGTGGGTGGCATAGTTTTTTTTTACCACGGCTGTGACCCGAGTCAGAGCCTGATGGCCACCATGAGGCTCTCCAGTGTAACATAATATTCTGATTCCTTAAACGCAATTCCTCGAGGCCTCCGTCAGGAGTTACATGGCACTAACAACGCCCTCTCCTTCCTGTTGCCATAAACTCTACGGTTGCAAGGGCACACATGTACTCCTGTAGCTCGGCGAGACTGGAATCTTGGTTCCATAGTTGTTCACGTATCTACGACACCTACTGAAGATAGTACGTTACTTCTCAGACGACTTCTGCGAACTTCATGTGTACATCCTTTGCGATGTCGTTGTAACCTATTTATGGTTGTCATTGGACTAATATATTTAAGGTGGTCTACACGATCCAAAGTCCAGGTACAGATAAACATAAACCGACAATAAGCATGTGAGCAACAATCCATAGAGAGGTAGAAACTGCATATGCTGCTCTTTTCTTTATTTCTCCTTGACCAGTGGGAAAGGGCGCTGGCTCTGCTGGAGCCACGGAGTACGTGGGACAAGCGCAGAGTAAGTTTGGAAGATGTGAAAAGATACATAACTGGAGGCTACATCCAGTGTGTACTTAAAGAAGTGTGAAGGCTTCATCCTGAAGGACGCAGTTCATTGTTGTAGTGATCCGTCAGCGGGTACAGTTCGAATCCCACCACTTACAAAATGCCTCATGGTAGTGCAAGTATCTCTTCATCAAGCTCTCACTACCTCGATGTGGGCAATATGAACAATTTATTGCAAGGACTAAACGCTGTTCTCGAGTCACGAATGTGTCTGACAAACAAAAATTGAGTTCCTTCGAAAATGAGAAGACCAAAGATTCCAAACTCCTGATCAGTACAAAGATGACCAAACGTTGTATACCGATGATTCCTTTCATTAAAGTTCATCACTGAACTTTAAGAGTGACTTTGTGAACCATGGTTTCTTTGTGGATCTGGTGACAACTCTTCTCGACTAACTCTAACAATTTCTCTATGTTTACAGCCCATGAGTTTAACACCTCATTACTATCCTTTTGATTCTGGAAACATACGACTCCTGCTGGCCTATCCACCTTGGCTATGAGTGCCTTCGATACAACCATCTCAGCCAAATGCTTCTCAGTTTCCTGCAAATTTACAAAGCACGATGCAGTCAATATCTCACATCGTCATAACAAATGCTAAGAAAGCGAAATCACCAAGCATGTACTGCTCATGGCGCCTATCGGAGATTAGACTTACTGGTAGAGATAGGCTGAGAAGTTCAGAGAGGCGCTGCAACGTGATTCTTGCGTAGTATTTCGATACGACCAATATATTCTGCAACAACCAACCACCTTCTTAGCACAAAGGCCGTGCAAGGGCACGCTGTTTAGGGCGAGGAGCACAATCGACAGACATCGGCATATAATAGAAGCATACAATTTCTCTATATGATTACTTCATACTCTCGTTGATAATGTCTGAACTGGCAATTCAAGGGCCAAATTACAAAAATTATCAAGGTCAATCGAAACGAACATGTTCAATCACACGTTGACGCAGATCCTCTGCAGCCTTCTCCCCAAGAGGTCCTCCTGGCAACTTGGCTTCTTCCTGAAAATCGCTCTCGAAGTCTTTCCAGAACGGTACCCATCTAATGACCTCCATAGTCACAAAGCTCTTCAACAGGGTGCTGCAAAAGCAAAAACTCTTGAGTCAATCTGTCGGCGTAACCACGGCAGGCCACTTACATACATGTTGTTAACTGCTGCCTTCTTCATATCGGTCACTAACATGATTCACCCAAACATGTTAGTGACAAACTAGATGGGATGATGCGTCCTGACTAAACTCAAAGGACGCGGCGAAATCTACGAATCAAAGTAATTTCAAGAAATGTCACCCTCTAAGTACAACTAAAAACAAGTTCGTGCAAGTCAGAATTCTTACCGAAACTTGGGAAGCTCAGACAATTTCTTGTCCTCCAAATTGCTATTCATCAGACTTGATTGCATGCTGTCGTAAGGTGCTAACACCAAATACCAGCAGATTTTCCTTAAGACCTGATATAATGGAGAAATACAAGTATCTCATGAGATTCTAAGGTTTCCAAGATTAAGGACAGAGAGGCTATCGAACAACAAATAACGATCAACATGGATTCGAGCCCTGACATTAATGACATCATTCATATCTGAATGCGAGTGGGAGAAACTCTCAGATGGTAGAATTTTCCTACAACGTGGGAGCAACCTGACATGCCACAAGATACCAAGAACCTGCCAGAGATAAGGAACACATGCTGATGATTGTGCTGATACACCACCGTTACAATTTCTCAATAATGATATGATCAACGATACTTACAGGCATCCAATTCGAAGGGTCTTCTTTCACTGATGGAGTATCATAGATCGCTTGATAACTCCGACAAATTTCCAAATAGTCATGACTATGAAGATGGTACCTGCATCCGGCAATGGACAAGAGCTTCACATCCCGATTCCTGCGCTAAATTGCCAGCACGTAGCTCTGTCCCTGTGAAGGACCCGTGCTGAAACTTGACACTCTATATATGAACAGGACAAGATCACCAACATATGTACATCAACCCACACAGCTCCAACCAAGGAGAGGCATCCTCTACACCAAAGTTCGAAATCTGTGGCAAACTCACCGAATCATCAAATCATAATAAATGCGCTTCAGTTCAAGAAGTGAAGGAATATCTGGAGGGGGCTCTACAACAACATTGTCTCCCTCTTTAGGCTTCTTTTTGTCCTTTCCCACGGAGATGACAAACGAACGGGGGCTAATCTTTCTCGATAGAATCTGAGCCCTCATGTAGTCCTTGCGATCGAGACACAAGCGCACCTGAGCCACAACCGGTAAAACGCTCGTTAATAGACACATACAAATGCAACTAAAAAAGTTCCCGGATGCGAACATTCTATGAAAAATCCCATACTTACACCGAGATAACCAGGCTTTGGGGTAAAAGCGAGATAACTAAAGCCTCCACAACGTCTACAATAGGTTTCGAGAAAGTATTTTCGTCACCTGCTCAAGTATGAAGGCTATTTTCTCTGTCTTGGACATAGCTCCAAATGTCTCGACCTGCAACATAAAACACATGTATTTCAAGCTTTGACCCGTGTACTGACTATGACATCTTGTCGTTGTACAGACTATTCACCTGATGTGATAATTTTGTAGTAGATAAAGAAATTACTTACAGGTACTTCCTGCATGAGTTCTGCAGCTTCAGCTACAAACCCTTGCTCCTCCTTGATCTTGGCGAGCTTTTTGATCAAACGAGCTCTCTCGATTTCAACATATATCTGAGCATACCAGCGACAACTCATTATCATTACTAAGGATAGTGGGCAATGTATATGGTGCACTAATAAAATTTCTTCTTCAGAAAGCAGATGGTACGAGTAAGATTATACCTTTCCCACAGTAACAGAATTTAAAGTCTTAATAAGCTCCACTCTCGTGTCCAAGTCGGGGGCTTGGTCAATGTACAGCATCGCCTGCTGCACCATGGCTGTTACAGCCTGCACGAATTGCAATGTCCATAAGAATAGCATACTGGAATATGAAAAATAAATTTAAAGCTCACTCGGTAGCTTGCTATGCACTTCAACAAGTGCATATTTGTAGGTCGATTCCTAACTTCGGGCCTACTAAATATAATGCAACTGCACGAGCTTGAGTTCATCGCAGAACAACACAACAAGACTGTAGCTACTGTCACGAGTCGGCGCAACCTGTTGCCCCCGTTAGAAAATCCACGGAGTACCATGAGTTCAGTTACCATTACAATGTAATGTGGACTGTACGTATAAAACTTGCTCCCCACAGATGATTTTAAAGCACGGTCCGAATTACAGTACAGTGATTTTCGAACAAATTAGGTTATGAAACGAGGAAATGAACTTGTACGCACTTGTTTGAGCTGCGCTCGTCTCTTGGAGAGCAAAATAATCTGCTCGTTGAGGGTTTTCCACGCACGGGCATCATAACACAGTTGAATGATTGCAACAACTAATCTCCGTGTTCCCACAACATTTGCGGAAAGACGCAGCTGCTTCTCGATGTCCAAAAGTGCCTCTATGGCCCCGTCCAGCCTACCTTCCTGAAACCACGATGCGACATTAGGGTTCTTTACTTCAAAACAGGCAATCAAGCCGACCTGAAGAGTGGAGTTCAAATAAATTTCGACGCAGCACATACCACGATCACACAACAAAACCTAGTTACAATTGTTCGCAACTCGTTGCCACACGCAAGCCTCATCGCATATCGAATCCAACCCAGCGACCTCTAGCTCAACTTACAAAACAAACCAGCACTATTTCACCACATTAAGGCGTCATCCGACACCGTCGTAACCCTCGGAACCAAACTTGAGGCGGAAAACGCGATCCTGCTCCGGAAGACTGAATTCAAAAATAATCCACAAACGAGAAGACCACAGATTGCAAACCCAGAAGAAAAAAGAAAAAAGAAAACCAAGGAACGACACGCACCTTGAGAGCCCAGACCCTCTTCTCCTCGATATCCTCGTCCAATTGATCGTCGTAAGGAGCCGACTCGAGAGACGAATCCTCCTCCATCGAAGTCATCTCGACACGAAATCAGGCGCGCCCGATCTCCCACTTTCTGACCTCGCTTCTCTGCTCGTCTCTCGTGTTGTCGTCGTCCCTTTCCCTTGCTCTTCGCTTCGCTTCGCTTCCCTTGCTCTTCGTCCCCTCTGCTGCTGCTCTCGTTGCTCAGAGCGGAGAAGAATGTCTCAAGAGGCAGCCTCGAGGTGTCGGACTTGGGCAAGCAAGTGAACAGAGCCACGCTCTGTGAATAAGAGCTCTCGACCGCGACTGCGACTGCGACTGCGAATTCCTTCTCTCTGTTGCGGACGTGGTGGTGTCTTCGATCGCCTCCGTTGACTGCGGATAAACTGCGTAATTTCATGCTCTCCGGTACACTTTGTACCATCCTTTGTCGTCACCCTTCCACCAATTCCGTTTACTGCTTCGTGTCTGAAATGTCACATTTTCCGTTGAATGCTTGTCGAATTATTATTTTTAAACTGACCAATAAGTAATAATCATATATCCCTAGTAGTTTGTACACCTGAGGGCAAGAGAGGATTGAGATATGGGAGCAAAGAATGGTAATATATACTTGAAATAAATTTAACCTTCTCATCGTACGTCGTTACAGTCGATGCTATGATTTTGATGATAGGAACTTTTGCAAAACCTCGTCTTTAGGCACTCACACAATTGCACTGCAGTTATCATGTCTATGAATATAGGGTCCACCTTTTTGTTGAAGTCTTCATTGACACTTCACCAATAATCACACGTAAAGAAAGTTCAAACAGCCGGGTTTTGTACGTGTGCATGTGTTTGACCAAGTGTTCATGCTTAGATCTCTTTCGTCTCTCTTTTGTGTCTGCATGGCTTTACTTTCCTCGTGGATATTTTTAAAACTGTTGTGTGCAAAACTTAGACAAGTTTTATCAGAGACTTTTGAGCGATAAAAAAAATACCCAGTATACAAAATATATCCCAATTTCATCTTTGGCAATGTCAATTTATGATCACAAATTTACAAATGACTCCTTCAAACTACAATGCAAAAGCCGCAAATATGTGAAAGAGATACTGAAAAGTACATGGGCGATTAAAAAAATACCCAGAATAAAAAGTATATCCTGATTTCCGCTTTGGCAATGTCAATTTATGATCACAAATTTACAAATGGATCCTTCAAATTAAAAAAGCAAAAGCCATAAATATGTGAAAGAGATACTGAAAAGTACATGGGCGATTAAAAAAATACCCAGAATAAAAAGTATATCCTGATTTCCGCTTTGGCAATGTAAATTTATGATCACAAATTTACAAATGGATCCTTCAAATTAAAAAAGCAAAAGCCATAAATATGTGAAAGAGATACTGAAAAGTACACGTGATGCAAGACAAGTGCGACGCTCTGACCTCTGAGCTAAACAGGCAAATAAGTGCGCATCAAGAGTTTATGAAAAAATTAAAACTTCAAGTTAAAACTTGTGAAAACAAAATTAAACAAACAAATATGAATGTGGCTCTTAATTTTTCAGCTCATGACACATACTACGACACAGACATATGGATTGCATGTGGTACTCTTATGGGAAATTCTGCACGAGCGATAACTTCCCAACAAATACTGAAAACTTAATAAGATCTTCAATATACATAATAGACGAACAGATGCGTATATCATGCAATCTTGACTCAACTGATTATTGAACGAATATCTTAAAGGTAAAAGTTGTGAAACCATTTGTAAGAGATAAATCATCACTTTGAGTCTCATTCTTACTTACTCTTGTGCGCTTGTGCACATTGTGTAGTGTAGGACGAGCCTTAAAATATTTGTGAGACTGTAGTGATGTAAGAAACTAAAGGAAATTGTTATTTTTTGTTCATGTTAACAATGAAGTAGATAAAGCACATCGTCATCAAAAGCAATGAACTTGTAGTGGACATGCAAAAATTGAGGGTCAATGAGCCTGCGTCTTCTCGCCAAAAGATGAAATCCTACATGCATTCAAATATCAAATAAATCCACTGACACCACTATAGATATTAGCATTTGTAATAGCTGGCTTTTACTTGGGACTTTATAAATATGATCAAGTCCATGGGAAGAATACCCTCCTTTTTTCAAAAAACTCAGTCAATGCTCCAACTCGAAGGATTATCCTCATCTTAGCGCAATGATGCCGTTGAGCTTTAGTCGTCATGAAAGGCAATATGACCTGTAGGCTTCATGGTAAACTAAATCCCTCGACTCCAAGTGCCAACAGAATGAAAACTTGCATCTGCATAAAAAAGTTCGAGAACCGAGGCTCTTGCCTCGGTTCTTCAGTCACGAGATGCTTCTATCACGAGAGGTGATAGCGTTTGTTGGATGATGGTGTCAAATTACGTATTTGTCATGTTAGAAGGCTTGTGGTCTACATACAAAGAGTAGTGCAAATATCGCATGATCACACTGATTGAAGTTATGACAAAATGCATTGTGTCCAAGTGGATATTCGAGGACCTGCAGTTGAAACTAGAAGGAATGTTGGATCATATGGTGACATTAATGTAAGAGGCCAAAAGTCAATTTACATAGGATGGAAAAAAGCAAAAGGGATGGATGGACTTCAAAGACTTCACTAATGCGAATGCAGTTGTCACACTTAACCCAAGTTGCGTGTAAGGGGGGCGCAGTAATTAACACTGAGAAGAAGGACATGATGTTGGAACGCATGTCATTGATGTTGTGTCATAGGTGAAATGGCAAATCAAACAATTCATAAATTAAGAGACCGCCCAAAATGCCATAGGGATTAAGCAAGGTTATTCCTTACTAGATATCCTTCACAACTGAGCTCTAAAGACTAAAAAAATAAAATTCATAAGTAAATTCATCGTGGGCCCATATACGTATTCTTATCCATGCATCAACAAGTTAACACTTAATAAGAAATGAAGTGAATAAAGTCGTGCCTTCATTTTCTATTTCAAAATGGTTTATTATTGCTCAACGAGCAAGTTTCATTTTCTTTAGATATAATTATGTTTATCTCGATCATATTCCTCAGTACAATTTTGCATTACATCTATTTGCCGCCATGCATTGATCAACTTGCATGCCTTCAACCAGAAAACTGGGTCCCAAGACATGGTTGCAAAAGCAATGCAAAGTTGGCCACTTCCGTTAAGAACAAGTGAAAAGAAGGAAAATAAAGGACGAGGGTATGGCTCCTGGAGATTCATTCTCTACCATTATTCAATATGTCTTCGTTGAGAACTTCCAGAACGTAAGAGTTGCCGAACTTACGATCGATAAAATTTTCTACCAATGCTATATAAATCTTCAGCAAAACAAAAATGCTGAAAATTGTGTCCTATATCCCAGCCGGTTAATCAGATTTATTATATTATAGGTAGTGTAGTACGATTGCTCGATTTTAGACGGCGTCATGCGTCAAGATGAGAAAAGCTCAAAACTTTCCAAGTTTGCATCTACCAAGTAGCTTTTTAAGGTGAAATTATGTACATCTGGATGATATAACCCTCACTAATTGAAAAGAGATTAAATATCTATTTATATCCATTTTGCAGCATTGATTGATTTCCATACATCAAACATTTGCTTACTTATTGATCATGAATCACTTTTGAAAAAACCAAAGGAATAGTGATAATAATGGATGAATATTGTAGTTCCAGAAGATAATCCTAATAATAAATCTTTAATGATATCTACAATTTAAATAAGATCTTGAGCATGACTAGTCAATGATGTTTATGGAGCTCACTATACGTCCAAAAAATATAAAGCAGAAAACGAAGTTTGTTTCCTTGAACCCTTTGATACAAATAAGATGATAAAAAATATGATATCTTCAGTTAGTTAAAGATATTGTGTTTGGATAGATAAATAAAATATAAATAATACATAAATATATAAATAAATTTCTAATTATTTCAAATATTCCGTATACATATTTTTCTTTACCTAAGAAGAAGTTAATGGGAGGAAAAATTCTTCTCAAATAAGAGAAATTTCATTTAAAGTACATATTGCCTCATTATTTACGTTACACTCTCTAGTTCTTAGTTTCCGAAGGTGACAATGTCTGGAAACACGAACTACAACAACATATAATACTTTATTTTCCCCTATTGCAAATCACCTTACTGTTTTTTCGTGCAATATCTATTTCTTAGTGCATCTCAAAGCTTATATAGGATAAAGTTTTTAATTTCTTTTCCAGAAAATAATCTTTTACACCACTTAAAGACACAGGAAAGAGTTATATCGTTGTGTCAACTTGAATTCAGACGTAAGTTTTGTTGTTGTGATTGTGACTGCATGCTCTTCCTTAACGGTCTTCTCAATATTGCACATCAGATTCAAAGACATATCTGTATTTTCAAATAGATTTTCTAGCTATGTAATGATTGCTTGGCCACCTCGACCAAAAGAATGTGTATACAGATATATCATTTTATTAGTAGTTCTGAACAAGTCGGAAGTATCGTTTCTGTATTATCAAGGCGCTGTGCACGAGAAAAACATTACAGTACAATTCTTCGCAGTGCTGTTAAAGTATTGAAGCGACAACGAGGTGAAATGAATAACAAACGTTTATCCTAATACCATTCATTAATTAGTCAATGATGTGATCTTAAAGAAGTAATGGAGTGCCACTCACAGAACGCAACGAGGAGGTATTGGAGGTTCAGGTGTGTTCTCCAGCGCGAACTTCATCGATTCAGCAACCTTTGATCCTTTGGACATGCATGCACTGGAGGGCAGGGGGGGAGGGCCAAGCAATATAGCAAAAAGGATGGAAAATCCATCATGGTACCCACCGCTATATTTAGAAGAGTCGGTGCGCCTCAAAATCCTTAACAGATCATTCTGACCATTGTGCGCTACATGTGGCCAAGTTGAGTGATTACTCGACCAGGATACTCTCAATAGTTTTCCGAGTATTTTCTTTTCGCATTATTGAATTAGTCCGTTTGCCAAACAAGTGGATGATTTTCAGGCAAAATTCAACCACTTGGCTGAAACGAAAAGCCATAGAGATGAAGTTGGACAAAACGTCAATCAAAGCGGCATATATACAAAGGCTGATTATGCTTTTATGCTAAGTCGTAATGACATTGTGTACAAAAGTCGAAGGGCTCGGAAATTCGAGGATCCTTAATTCAAAAATCATCCTGTTTATGAAAGCTTTGGTATTTACGTACACATGGAATGACTTCCAGTAAGAAGAAAATCAGGTCTCCATTGGATTTTCCTTCAGTCCATAGCACAACGGTAACTAGAAATCGTAATTACGAAGAGCTTGGTTATGTGCAAGCACCGACCAAAATGAAGAGGAGGCAGGAGGTTTGGCTGGAGTCCACAAGTCAGACTCCAGGTTTAGTGGAGAACGAGGGATTCGTCGGTTGCCTACTTGGGATCCTGTGGCCCTGGCAGACTCCTTTCTCCGCTGCCCCGTCTCATGAAGCGCAGCAGCAGCAGGCAGCAGGTCTGAGGAGGAAGTGCAGCTGTCCATGTGATGGCTCGATCGATTGGCCGCCGAATGAGGTTTTAGCTGCCAAGCGAATGCTTCGATCGAGTCCGGAATCTCTGCGTGTGGGTGGTGGGGGTTTTGAGGCCTGCTCCGACAGATCTGGCGTTGATTTTCGGTTTTCTTTCTGAAGTATGAGGTGAGGAGTGTGGAGGATCAAGCTCTGTTTCTCGCACGAGAAGAAAAAGCACGAGCGGGAGACATGGGGTATATAGGGAAGCATGGCGTCGAAGCGCTGCAAAGATACAAGTACAGTGGCGTGGATAGATCTTATGTGGCCAAATATGTGCTGCAGCCGTTTTGGCGGAGTTGCGTTAACTTGTTCCCGCTGTGGATGCCGTAAGTTGCCACCATTTCCATATTTTCTTCACTTCTTCATGAATCGGTCAAGGTAGCACCATCTTGGCTCAGGCGAGATTTGGCAGTGAAGAGCTAAGGAGATCGATGTTCCACAGCTTACACTGTGCGAAGTTTTATGCATGCTGCTAGCAAGTTTTGGAATGGGGCGGCTGAATTCTATATGCAGAACGAATGGTAAATTTAGCATTAGGTTTTAAAATTTAGTCCACTTCCCTTTAGCCCAACTACCAATCTTGATCTATAAGCATTGACAATGTTCTTCATGCAGATTCTGATCGGGTATGTGTTTCACTACCTTTAGCTGACAATGATAGATTGATCACTGATCAATCCTTTAGAAGCTCGTAGCAACAGAGAAGTAGACGCAAGTAGGACTTTACATGTCTATGTCTGTGTCTCACTTTATTGCTGTCGGTTATGCTTGTGAACTTTTGTGTGGTTCTGATACGGTGACATGTGTGGGTTGGCTGCTGGATTGTGTGATTCGACCGACTTCAGGCCGAATATGGTTAGTATTAAAAGCTTTACATCTATCGGCATCCTTGTGTTTGCTGGTTTGTTGGAACAGACCGTGCTAAGTCATTTGCCCTTGAATTTGATTTTTATTGTTTTGTGAACATTGTTTTGATGTCTTCAAGAATGATTAATTCTAGTAAGTTGAACTTAGAGTTATAACATGGATCTAACTGCCAACATGATGACTGATGCAGATTACGCTTATGGGATTTATGTTCGTAGTGTCATCTTCAATATTAAGCTATGTGAGTGATCTTTGCTCTTTAAACCAGAATGTCTATAGATTACAAAGAAATTCTTATAAGATTCTTACTAACATCATTCGATGCCGAGTGATTGTTTCGTCGAATATGCTCATGTTTTACAAATTAATCACGCCTCTGTTGTTTTTCTATGCTGAACAAAGCTGCTTTTGGTGTCTTCTGTGTTCAGCTATATTCTCCAAACTTAGATCAAGTAGCTCCAGCCTGGGTCTACCTCATGCACGGAACACTCCTCTTTCTATATCAGGTGCGAAATTTTCCCACTTGAGTTGTTTATTTTCATAGTGTAGACCAGTAGTGAATGCATGTACCTCGCAATAAATTGCCACTCACTGGTTTATTTTATTAAAACCAGTGAGTGATTTGTTTTGTTATGTTAGTTTCTTAGCTAGTGCAGTTTAGTTTTACTAAGTAACTCTAGATCTGCCTATCGTGTTCAGTTTGCGAATTTTTGTGAGTTAAAAACTTAGTAACATATTAATGCTATTTTGCGAAAGTTGTTAACTACATCTTCCATTCTTGGTCAACCTGAATATCGAATAAACCTTTGCAAATGTACCCTTCCGACTTCCAGACTTTTACAAGCTCTTGTTTGAGTGTGACTAGGAAATCTAAGGTGTGAAAATTTATAAAGATTTTCGATGCGCAGACTTTTGATGCAGTTGATGGTAAACAAGCAAGGCGGACAAATTCATCAAGTCCTCTGGGCGAGCTTTTTGATCATGGTAAGTGGTTGTATTAAGTTCAGTGACAAGATCTAGCGTCGTACATTGGCCTGCGCTTACAAGTCTTTCTCGGGATCCTTAACAAATCTTTCCAGTAGCATCTACTTGATCCTGAAGTTCATTTTATAGTTGTTCAGAGACTTTCTGACCTTCCGGGTTAGCGCCTTTCGGTCTCCTTATGTTTTGAGCTCTTGTGGTGAATCGAGAGCGTGTTATTTTGATTGTTCTGATTTTAGCTATATGTCGATTGGGTGTTGGACAGGATGTGATGCGCTCACGTGTGCGGTAAGTTTTCAACTTTTTTCAATTCTAACTTCTAGAATCAAATCTTTGGTGACTGCGCTTGGATCTTTTTGTACCATTTAGCACACATTACCTTTTTTGCATTCCCACTTCATTAGTCGTTATTTTAGTGCACTGTAACTGTCATCAAATTGTTCACATGCTTAAGTTCTACCAAGTGACTCTTGATCAACGTATTGATTCAGTTCGAGACAATGGCCTTCGGGTCAGCCGTTTTGAGTGGACGAAACTCAATCTGGTTCTGGGCTATCGCAACAATCCCTTTCTTTGGGGCCACCTGGGAAAGGTATACTTATCGTCTCAGGCTTGTTCTGCAGTAGTTTGTAACTACTTTGGGCATCACAATTAGGGGTCGCATTAACATAGAGAAAGTCTTTGGACATGAACACTCTTATTTCTTACTGTTTTAAGTCTCGAAAGTTCAATCGTCAACCATACCGGGTATATATAAACAGAAATATAGCGGTTTGTTAGCCGACATGATACCTGACTTGTTATGTTGTTCGAAGAAAGAAAAAATTGATGAATAGTATGGTTTGAAAATTCTGTTTTGAATGACGAAAACATCATGGTCTTTTCAATCAACAGACTGTTTCTTCTCTTTAAAAAATTATGAAAATTTCTGAATGGATTTCTGCTCAGTGAGCCGAAATGCCAAAGAGAGGCTGTGCATGACTAAATGTTGATACTTTGATCCAGCTTCTTCACGGATACACTCATCTTGCCAGAAATCAATGGTCCTACAGAAGGCCTACTGCTCATCTACTCAGTTCATTTTTTCACTGCGTTTGTGGGTATGTTCCCAGTAACCTAACAATTGAATACGCCGTCACTTTCCGATTTTTTTATCATGTACAAATGATGTAATACAAATGATTTCTCTGTCATAGTGTTTCACCAGTTATCTTGTTCCTTTTGTAAGGTTTGCAATTCTTTCAAAGATATGTCTTTCTGAAATGTAGGTCCAACATGGTGGACTCTCAACTTCAGGCAAGCAGTACCTCTGTTGCGATTTATACCATTCATTCCAGGTTGGTTCTACAGTGAAAGAACCTTATCATATGCTTTTATATACTGGGCCAAAAGTTAGAGGTTTAGGGTTGAAAGTAAAATAGACAAACACCAACGACTACAGCTTTTGGTCTTTGTCGTGTAAAAGCTTAACATTACTAAATGCATTGCATTATCGGGTTCATTTAATTATATCTTGCATACACGCTTTGTGGAAGCCGATCTTAATGGACTCATTCTGCTCTTGACAGACATGCCTTTGAACACTTTTATCATATGGGGAATGATGATTTGCGCAGTTGTCCCCACCGTTGGCTACAAGTAAGCGCATCCGACTGTCCCATCTCTGTTGTTTCTTCAAAACGAGGACGGAACAAGCTTCTGAGTGCTTCTTGATAGTTAGATTTTTAAATTTTTTTTAAGCTCTCTTTAGGTACTGCAGTTTCCATGTATGGCAAATGCCAGTTCGTATCATTCTTTGAACTGAGGACGGAACTTATTAGGACTAGGACGGTTGAAATCAAGTGAATGCCTGCGCATGCTTGAATGGAAAGCAGTCATGCATCGAGCTATTCGTTATAATTGTATGTTTTGGATGCAGTATTTCTAATGTGCACAAAGTGATCAAAGCACGAGGGACAAGCATGGTCTCAGCTTTGGCCATGGTGAGTCCGAAACCTTGGCTTTTATTGACATCATAAAATTGCACCATCAATTGTGACCAATTGTCCTCTCTACGTTGATTAGTCTAATCGCAATTGTAATGCAGGTTTTGCCGTTTGTGGCTCTGCTCACAGGGATCGTGACCTGGTAAATAAACTGAACTTGAAGGACAGAAGTCTTAAACCTGAGGATCATTTAAAAGTCTCACTTTTGCTCACTCTTGATATGATTCTATGAGCAAGTTGTCAATATCATATTTTCTTTACTGTTTGTATCCTATCGTCTATGCTCTGTAAGGTGAATAAGCACTTCTAAAAAATACGGGGTTAGCTTTCAACTGGGGCAGAGAAACACGTTTGTTGATCTGATTTAGTTCTGTATCCAATGTGACTACAGGGCATGGTTATCTCCCTCTGACATCCTTGCAACACAGCCCCATCTTGTGCTCGTAGGCTCAGGCTTTGCTTTTGGTTTCTTAGTGGTAAGATTCATTTCTCCCTTCCATGGAGTAATCTCATTGCTGGTACTTCAGTTCTTTATAAAGTTACTAGCACCGTTTGTTAGTATCCAGCTTCGCTTGGTCAAACCTTTAATTTTGTGTCTTTGTGATTGCAGGGAAGGCTGATTTTAGCACACTTGTGTGACGAACCCAAGGGACTGAAGACGAGCATGTGCACTGTACGTTTCGAGTGATCAGTTGGTGTCAAGTAGTTTAGGCATTTTTGGAGAAACTAAGCCAGTGAACAAAAATCTCAAAAGATGTTGTAAAGTTTTCTGCCTACTCGCCATCAGAACACGCGTAACGACTGCAGCAAATTTCAATCTTACATCTATCTTCAAATATTTTTTAATAAATGTGATAGTAGTTGACAACATGTTCCTTGGCTGTCCAGGCTTTGGTCGTACTTCCTCTTGGAATTGCAAATGCCTTGTCAGCAAAGCTGCTCGGAGGGTGAGTGTACTTATTTAGAGTTTTATCCGTTTTGAAGCACAGCTCGACTTTTACCTTGACTAATATGAAATAACATCACATTCTTGTGTAAGTTAGGAGATCTGTCCTAGGCTTAGTCACTTGTGGTCTGCTCACTTTTGTTCTCCATGCCTCTTGTATTTAAGCTCGACGCTTTATTGTTGAAACGTTTGCAGAGCTCCTTTGGTGAATGAGGTGGTCGTTCTTCTAGGCTATTGTGCTTACACAAGTAAGTTACTTGGTTGCTCTATGCTTCTCATTTGACATTTTTTATTCCATTCTCATTTTTATCGTGTATTGGGTGCAGAGTAGAGCTACACCTTTGAAGCTCTCCTCTGCATCCAATAAACCAAGGCTTGCTACCTCTAAAATGGCTTGCTGCCTGCGATGAAGTTACGTTTGAAGTTGCAGTTTGGAAGCAAATGACGTTTTCTTTGTTGTCGAGGGCAGGTTCACTTTATCTTCACTTCGCCGTTGGAGTGATTCACGAAATAACAAGTGCTCTTGGTATCTACTGTTTCAGGTATTTTTTTTGCTTCTACTTATTTCCAGTCTTTAAATTTCGGTTCGCTGCACATCTTTGTGCGAGGACGAGTGTTTGTGTGTTTGTGTGCGTGTGGTATGTGCAAATCTGTCGTGGGGTTTTTACTTTTTTTTACTGAGCCGAATGTAAGCACCTTCCGCTTGTTGCAGACTTGGTAAGAAAAAAGACATTAAGGGCAATTGAGGAGCACACACAGACACACCTGACTCCCGGATGAAGGTTGCTTGATCACTTTGTCTCCGATGAAGCAAAATCAAGGGATGCCCAGGGGAGGGAATTGACTCTTACTACATGGTTCGATGTATATGTTGGGGTGTTTTTCATTTTGAATTTTTGTCCATGTGATTGGCGGCAGCATCACCAACGTTACCCATCGTACAACTTGAAGGGCCAACCGCAAGAGTGGTGCTTTCCGCTGAAGTTTTCGGCAGATGCAGAGCTGGTTTCTCTTCTCCTCCGTAGGCCTGCCAAGCTCTCATAGGCCCCAGGTGTCCTTTTTGCATAGAGTCGCCGTGAAATAGGAGGCTCGCTTGGTTGTTAAAAAGCTCATAAATACGAGCCCTTTCGTGGCCAGTTCTCTGTGTTAGTAAAATTGTTTCATTTTCGTTCGTTCACATCACCTGCGCCAATTAAATATCTTGTGTCGAGTTACTTGTGAGATTATTATTATCCACTCTACCCACACGATATGAGTTTTATCACTTCTGATCTACGGTCACCTCATTCATGACTGAATATGAAAGCCTCTCACTTACACAGCGCATGCCTCCCCATAGTGCTCGACTTCTAACATCATGCAATCCTGGCTCACCTGGACCGCCTGTCAAAGCCGATCACATTGTGTCCTTCTCTTCCTGCACAAGCGACGAAGTGTACATTACATATTCAACACTGCAAATCGCCCAGTAAAACTCAACAGAAACACCAAAACGTACGCAATGAAATTTTGACTGAAGTGTTGCACCCTGATAGTTGACACTGAACGAAGCGTGCACTTCCACCTTGAGGCGTATGGAAGTGACTGAGACGAGGAATACTGGTCGTGGCCCGAGGATGCCCGGGGGAATTTACCTCTCACCAAGCTCCGGAGGAATAAACGAGATCAAAATTCAGTTCACTTGCCATCTGGTTTGTATCAGAACTGAGAGAGGATGAACTTGTCTTGACCTAAGCCATCCTCAAAATCGTGCCCAATAGAAAAGAACACCCAACAAGTATGTTACAAAAAACTTTGCAATCCACAAAAAGAATTTAGAGTAAGGAGACGAGACCTGAAATAATTGCCAATCGCAGTCAACGGAGTGTCAAACGGGGTTCCGACCTTAACGAACGTCGTTGAGGATCCCAAGATTATACATAAGGAAAAGCCAATCTGTAATGATCAAGGAATGTTTCCCGATGAAACTAATGCTTTTGGATTGGGCCATAATGAATCATCATCATTACAACATACTGTCGTTCTCAAATTCCGAAAGCGAACTCAAAAAGTCACTCCCCGAATGCTTCGCTGAAGAGGAGAGGGGAGGGAATTTGTCAGGAATCTTTTGTTCGCCCCCAGATTCCGTCCCAGAATCGTCGGAGAACATGCCGCAGAGTAGAGTAGCTGCTCCTGTGACGATGGCTGGCGCTTTCGCCAGAGCTTCGCGAGAATCGATTGATTGTTGCACCGGCGGGGTTTGCGATTAGAGCCTCGGCACCTTTATGCGATTCAGGTGTGAAATCTCTCGATGGCGACCACTCCGGCCGCGATGTGCGCTTGTCCGAGCTTGGCCAACTCTAGGGCTTTTACGAAGAGCTCTTTTCTCGGACACGATGTGAGAGCGACAGCGCGAGTCAGCGCTGCCTGTATCCAAGTGCCCAGAAGATCGACATCGACATCGACATCGACAGCGACATCAGAGTCGTTCAGCATTCGATCTGAACGCAAGTCTCAGCGAGTGAGTAACTTTGAAATTTCTTATCAGGTGGTGTTCAGAATGCCATCCTGACTCTAGCACGTCAGTCCGAATTTCGGTGTGAAGTTGCAATGCAGGAGTTGACGAGTGGTGTGGACTCTGAGATAGGGTGAGATTCAGGAGGAAAGCAGTTGGAAGAATGTGTCTGTCGGATTGGAAAGCACAGACCTGTTCAAAAATCGCAGAATGGAAAATGAACCGTCTTTTGTGCTTATAATCTCCGAAAGCTCTCTTATTTCAAGCTCTCCGGGACCACCCTTTGTGGTGAATTGTGTTAGAATCCTCTGCGAAAGTACATCCATCGAAGACCTACATTCATTCGGAACTTAGTCTGTTTGGAGCTTGAACTGGAGTTCTGGTCGAGGGTACAGAGGCCGGGACGAGTTACATGAGCCATGAGCGGCGGGAGCATTTTGGGTGCGTCGGCGCTATGTGAGAATTCACTTTATGTGCCGGAGCCAGCTGCCGAGATTTGTCGCTGATGTGCTGCGGTGAAATGTACGCAGGTGAAATGTCGAGCGGTGAAGACGGCGTCTCCAGTTCCACCGTTGGTGCAGCTGACAACCGAAGAACCAAAGCCGGTGCTCCAGTACGCGAAGGCATTCGCCCCAGCGACCGTGGCCAATCTTGGCCCCGGGTACGACTTCCTCGGTTGCGCCGTGGAAGGCATGGGTGACTTTGTCACTGCTGAGGTACATTCATGTATGTCCTTCAACAATCTTGAACTGCCGTTCTCGTATGCTCTGCTAGCATAATTCACCTCCAATCGCTGTCTCTCGAATCGCCCGAAGCTGATCAACTCATGCCACCGACGATAGTCCGGAAGGCGATGTAGTTTTGCGTCTTTCGTGGATCATCGAGTGTACTTATGTGAAAACTCAAACGAGAATGGTCCTCGTTTCTGCAATTGTCGTCCACAATCCTCGTTGCGCAATGGCGACCGAACCTGAACAGCCTCGCACTGAGCGAATTTTCCTCCTGGGTGTGTAGGTGGATGAGAATATACCTGGAGGCACGGTGGCCATCGAGTCCATCACAGGCGATGAAGGCAGACTCAGTCTGATCCCGGAAAAGAATTGTGCAGGAATTGCCGGACAAGCGACATTGACGCTGTTGGGAGTTCGAAACGTCGGTGTCAGACTCAATCTGCACAAGGGGCTTCCGTTAGGCAGTGGTCTGGGCTCGAGTGCGGCTAGCGCAGCTGCTGCTGCGGTTGCGGTACGGTGACTATCCTCCTCTGTCACAACATGCTCTCTGTCTGCTGCTTCTGTCTGGGCCTTCGTGGCCATCGCTGATTGTGGAGGAGGTCTCTGGTGGTGATCTAAACATGTCACGCCATGTTTCCAATCCTCTTTGAAGTCGAATGTCTTCGATTAGCGGTCGAGGTGCTCTGCATGGAAGGTTTCTTAATGGGTGCCGTTTGCGGTGCAGGTGAATGCATTGTTCGGCAGTCCTTTATCGAAAGCTCAACTGGTGCAAGCAGGGTTGGAATCCGAGGCCACCGTCAGCGGTTACCATGCTGATAACGTGGCACCTTCGCTCATGGGAGGGTTTGTTTTAGTCAGAAGTTACGATCCGCTGCACCTCATTCCTCTCGAGTTTCCCAAGGGGAAACAGCTCTACTTCGTGCTTGTCATCCCCGAGTTCGAGGCACCCACCAAGGAAATGCGTGCCGTGCTCTCACCAGAGGTACTGCACTCTGCCGTTTTCAAGCGGATGATGATTCCTCCAGATGGCGCATTCATTTGGGTCTCCATAACAAGGGTTTTGCAGAGAATCGAGAGCTTGGGCGTCAAGTTCACTTTCTCAGAGAACAATGCTCCAGCCTTGATTCCTGCCAAGGGCAAGTCCAGTGCATGTTTCTTCCTAGAAGATGTAGGCGTTTTGGAAATGTGCTAAGCGTAAGAAGCGAGCTGTATCGACTCTTTGTGATTGCTGACTCACTTGAAAACGCTGTGCAACAGATCTCCATGAAATCACATGTTTCGAATTGCAGTCAGGCAGCTGCTTTAGTATCTGCGATATTATTGGGAGATGCGAGGCTTCTAGGCTCCGCTCTAGGTGAGTGTGGTGGTTGCTTTCATCGTGGAATGTCGGAATTTGTCATCATCGACAAATGTCTCGGAACTGTCGTATTTCAGTGACAGGGCTGTCATTTTTTCCTTCCATCTTCTAATCAGGGAAGTTTGTGCAGGATCTGATACAATTGTGGAGCCGAAAAGGGGTCCGCTGATTCCAGGCATGCTAGCTGTGAAACTCGTGTCGATGAAACACGACGCGTTTGGATGCACAATAAGCGGAGCCGGACCCACAACGGTGGCCATCACAGACAGCGAAGATGAAGGTCACAGGATAGGTGCGAGAATGGTAGAGGAGTTCATGGCCGATGGAAAGCTGAAGGCTACAGCTCATGTTCAGAAACTTGACCGGGAAGGTGCACGAGTTGTTGACTCTCGAAAGCTGTAGTGTTTCACGTTCATCTCCATGACAGTGGTTTTTTCCTTGTGTGTTGTTATCATCTATTTGTATCCTATTAGAGACTCATCACAATTTTGTTTGGAAGAGGCAATAAAGCAAAGCTGCTCAAAAGTGATGTTTCGGGATTTTGTTCCCCCTGTGACGGTATCGTGCTCTGACACTCTTGAAGAGTCGGCTATAATGCGAATGAATTGTTCATCTTCATGTCGTCTACGATGGTACATCACAGAATTGATTATGACAACAACGGATGCAATATCTGCATTTTCGAGGGTTGCTGGCTTTCCGTTGGATATTCCACGACGATCAGTCACTTTCGGTTTCGACGTTTGTATGAGATACTTTGGAAGTCGGAGAACAATCCGCGTCATGTTGTTGAGGTCACTAGCCGAGCAATGGAATTTGTAGCGCTTCGATTTGCTGTCTGAATGATCAGATACAAAACTGAAGAATCAACTGCTCTGGTTTTGATAGAGTTTTACCCTGCCTGCAGTCTCTGATCAAATGGGTCTCTTGGTCGAGGCGAATGCTGAAGGTTTCACTTGAACGAATGTTTATGTCATATACCAGACCCCAACGAGAGAATCTCAGCTTTAAATTCAATCGGCGAACTCCGACGAGCACAAAATGTTAGACCAGCAAATGAAGAGGTTGGCCCGCACCTCGCAGTCGGGTCATCCATCATGCTAACAGTCCAGTATCGATTGGGAAGAATTCAACCGCAGCTTCTTCTACTCACGTCAGGGGACGATGCACACGAGCAAAGAGAGTTTGGAACAGAGAGCATAGATGACAGGGCCTGTAGACAACGAAAGCTCCAATTTTCTCGTATTATGAGGCAGACACGAGGCTGACTGTCGGTCTGGCGCGGCAATTCGCTGGACCCAGATCTCGATCATTTCGAGGACGGAACCAACGACGAAGCCAACAAATTCGTCTCACGATACAGTCGCAGATTTCGAAGACTGAGATGAAGAGTCGGAGGTGACTTCCGCGGGATGTCCTCTGCGTTGCATGGCGAGCGACGGTGGAGCTTCTTGCCATACGAAATTAGAATCATTCACTTTCGTGTTTTCGATTTTGCCAGAGAAAACACCGAGAGACGTATATTTGGGATCGGAGATGAAGCTGCGACTTATGGACACTGAAGAAGATTGTCCATCTGCAGCACCCCACAAAGACACCGAACTTAGCAACTCCCTTCGCTCCCGTGCAAATTTGCTGACAGATTCCTTTGGTGTGGATCCAGTAAAGAATGAATAGCCTAAACTAACCCACAGAAAATATAATTACTGTCATTTTACCAATTGGGGATTACGCATAGACTAGATCAGAAGGCCAAAACTAAAAGTTTTCAAAAGGCCGAGGTTTGACAAAGGTAGACTCAACAAGTACGTTGGTGAAAGTGGACACGAGACATAGAAACACGCGAAGGCCTATAAGAGAACATGAATGCTCTAATATAAGAACATGTTGAGAAGAAATCATCCATGTTCAAATGGATGTGGATTCTACCATGTTCTTCTACGACGCATGTATTAGATCTAACAAAATAATCCGATGGACTTTTGACTCGGAGGCTGAACAAGGGTTTGCGACATGTATTAGATCCAATAATACATGAATAGGGGTTTGCCAAGTTGTAAAATGAGCTGAAGCACGTGAGTGATGTCGTACTGTTGACCTTCAGAAATAATATATGCACCATTTATTGACATTTAGATGTGGCTTATCATGTGTGATGGTTGTTAACCTTCGAATTCCATATTTTTGGAATCCATAAACAAAAGGTATGAGAGAAGTTCGTACTACCATAGCAGCACAAAATCTGCAACTATTAACTTGACTCTTGGAAGGAGCGACGGTGTATCAATGAATAATTAACATGATAGAGTGGGAACACAAAATATTACAATAAGTCATATTCATGGGTCTCCTTGAACAAATTCAGAAGTAGATAAGCATATTTTTTGAAATGGAGCGAAAAGGTAAAGAAAAAATCAGGTGCAAGAAGTTGACATACATTTTGACAGAACATCAAAATTTAAATAATCTTATTTTCAAAGCAAGAACATGTCAAGGTTAAAGTTTCCTTATGTTATGATAAAATCTTGATCAAGAAACAGATAGTTCTAATATGACTATAGAGATGATATTGGGCAGCAATAAACATGCAATTTAAATAGTGTTAAAGAAAGCTTGCATGAAATTGCAATACTAAACTCAAATTTTTAATTTTTCATATAAAAGTTGGTTTATTTTTTTGAATGAATCAAATTTACCTTCAATATTAAATTTTCTTGGAAAAAATAATATCAATACAAAATATCTTCTTGATTTCAATCTTTAAATATCTTAAAAAGTGCATATTATTATACTTGTCCCACCTTATGGAGCAACATTATTAATCAGTTAATATACACATGCAAGAAAACTTATTGTTCAATGAAAAGTTCAATCATTTTAATTTTCATTTGATTTGATTGCATGTTTACATCCAGTTTTAAAAATCATAGGGTCAACAGTTAGAACTTACTAAGGGTTTACTGCTATCATGCATGTTTTAGATGCATGATCATGATAAGTAATGACTAATGCAAGAGTTCTAATAATTTTGATATTAAATTATATTTGATTGCTCAAGAATAATCTGTTTGTTGTACTTATGCGCTAAGAAGTTAAATTATTATTATAATTCTATTGAGATCTCAAGATAGATAGATGTTGTTCAACAAGGATTGAGTTTCTAGATTTTTGGAGGTATTTTGAAAATCTTAAAATAAATAGGATTTAAAATTATTATTATTGTTGTTTTTTTCATTTCTGATTATGACAAAAACTCAAAGATGACACTGATACGAAGTGTATTACATACACTGTATCACTCTTAGATAATATTCTTTTACTCGAGTATATACAAGTGACTTTTGGTATAGTTTACTTCAGGATAACTTGCTAATCAGATACATTATATCGCACAATTTTCACTTTTCCTACGTAATAATCATGCCTAACTTTTTTTGATAAAAATAAATTGAGAGATTTTGAAGATATCTTTGGATTTGAGACCTTTCAGAATGTGACTGGATACTTGAGAAGGTGCAAACATCTTTGTTGATTTGTGAAGAAGATTGGATTTGCTTTCGATAAAGCAGAGGCCAGCTTTAATTTCCTGGCAAGTTGGGCAATTTCAACACATGTATTATCTTTCCGCATTATGATAGCAAATAGACCTCTTATATCGCTGTATGAGGGGATGTCCATACATGGTTATATTTTTTACCCAATGATATCACATGAAAAAAAATTAGATTTGACTAGAGATATCACACAAATTTGACCAAATTAGAGTTACAAATACGATGGTTATCCATTATACATGTGATGACGATGTTCTCCAATGTTCCAAGATCAATGAGGAGTCTTGTGGCAATGGCAAAGATTTCCGATCATAAGGTATGCAAAGAGTTCCCCTCTTTGTGACCTTGGACTAGAGTTATATGGAAATATGAATATATTCAAAATCTTCAAAAAGTAATGTGAAATATTATAATATGATAGTCGACCATGGTAAATTATGGTCTATGATATACTCATATAGTTTCTTATACCTTGATAGTCCGAGACCAAATATTACTTGGGCTCGCCCCTTTTTTCTTATTGGGTTTGACTGGTGTTGGATCGATTCTATATACCTCTCATAATTAATGATTTTGGCAAAGAATTACTTGATGCTACCAGCAGAAGTTGGAATCGAAGGAAAAATGCGCCAAGTGGACACAGGAGAAAGGCCAAAACTTCACCTCAAATTTGTACCCCTACCAACATATGCTATTTAAATTGCGCCCATATATTCATAAATTATGTAATATGTATTAACCGCTACACAAAGTTTTGAATTTTTTATGTTTAGTTCCAAATGACTTCTTACACATTTGGAACCCATGCCCATCCATAGCCACTGAAAACAATAACCGATGGGCATGTGCACCCAATGTTAGGCTCTGCACAGGAGTCGATTAATATTAGAGGTACCAACTGCAACTGCCCGTATCAAACATTGTGCGTGTCCCTGATCTGAGAACATCAACCTTGGTTAGGGTTGCACTACATTTTCGGTCGTGCACAGAATATGCCCTGCCACAGTCCTCCAGTCCTACACCCTCCCATTTATTGCACTGCCTGCTTTGCGTGTGGATTCTGATTGCGGATTCAACTCCAGTTTCATACGCCAACAGTATATTGCAAATGATTGGTCTTCTGCAGCTTCTGCTTTTCATCGACTATGATTGATTGGTGGACCTTGAGCAGGTCGGGTTTCAAACGAGACCCTGTCATGTCGTTGCCTCTGCTGCCTCGGTTGTAATTTTCTGGCTGTCGCTTTTGGCGTTGCTCTGAGGGTGGATTCGGAAGTCTAGCTGTCGGGTTTAGAATGGTGCTTCAAAAGAGTAGTCTTCAGAATTTTAATGGGCGCAACACTGGCATGATGCGTTTTGGAACGGGGACGAGGAATTTGCGTATTGTGCTAATGTTATGCACTCTACACGAATCCGCGAGTGAATTATCGATTGAAAGGAACAATTGAACGGGACAGAATCTCCAACGAATTCTATTAAGATTGTTTATCCATTTCTCTTCGTCTGAGCTTGAAAAGAAGAGGACTGCTTGATTTCACGCTAATCGGAGGCTGTGATTCTCTCGTGTCTTGGGGGACACGTCTGATGTGAATGCGCTCGTGGTGGGAATGGACGAAGTTTTGTTGATAGTCCAGGTAGTGAGCATTGGTGGAATTTACAGGCAATTGATTCCAGGGATGTAAGGCGCAGCTGATTTTTGGCGAGGGTCAATTCTTGATGTTTAATTTGCACGAAAAGGAACAACCGAAGGCCGTGTTGGTAGAATTTGTACGCATTTAAGATGGAAAAACCGCAAATTTTTCTTCGTTGCAATTTGCAAAAGAATTACGGGGTACATGTGTGTGAAAGGAACAATAGAAGCCACAAAATAATTGAAACCGCCTATCTGTGGGAGGAGCTTTCTTTTGATTAAGGAGACTTCCTCCTCCTTGGGTAGATTTGTGCTTAGGTTTCAAATTACAGTACTGTGGAGTAGTCGAAAATGATATATGGAGAGGAACGTGTCTTTTCACCTTTTAACTCAAGTACTGGGCATGCTGATGGTATACGTGCTCAGATTATGTTCTGATGCTAAGCTAGCGTGAAGCATCACTCAGGAGCAATGCAGTTTTTGGTATCCATACCTCAGTCGCAATTGGATATTTCTGAGCATTTCCTCCTCCATCAGTCAGAAGACATCGTCCTAGTAGCTCGAGAGCGTGTCATTATTTTATTTGTCGGGTTAGTCTTATCGTAGTAAAGGCAATTGGGATAGATGTTTTTTGTGGGAAGGAAAGTTTACAGTGATTTAGACAGTGATTTAGATGATGCAGAAAATGCGTCTCTTTTGTCTCAATCCTTATGGGTGTTACTCCGATCTTGCAGGGTTTGTGACGAAGGCGAGGGCCATGGAGGTTGAAGTGAGGCGAGTAGGGCTGCATAGCTGTTTTGTAGCCCTACCACCCTCACTATTAGAAATTCTTCTTTCTGGCAGTAACCTCCCAACCTTCCCAGTCGTACTTGAGCTGAAACCTGTCAGTCATTCTGCTGGAAATACTACAAGCTTCGTAGCTTGGAATGGGGCTGCATCAACGTCTTCACATATTGAGGTTTGAATATTTGACATGCACATTTTCTTCCCTTCTCTTATTTCATCCTTCCTTTCTCATGAAAATGATTCTGCATCGAATCTGACCGATTCTGTCAATCACAAGGTGTCAGAAGCATTGGCAGAATGCCTGGGACTTGTCAATGGAGCACGATTTCGCGTACGTGCAAGGAGCGATGTGGCAGAAGCCGAGACCATCGTGGTCGAACCTGCGACAGAAGATGACTGGGAAATTTTGGAGCTGAATGCAGAGTATCTGGAAGATCACATATTGTCTGAAGTACGTGTGAGGATACCACTGCAGAAGTCTCTTTCAGTGACAAGTTGCCGTTTCCATATAGGCATTATTCTGCTAAAGGACTTGAAGAAGGGCTACATATCACCTTGATTATTCTCCTGATGTATACAACGTTTTGATCACTGTCAATTGGAATAATAGGTGGGCGTTCTGCACGAAAGACAACAATTTCCTGTATGGGTTGCGGGAAAGGTGGTATTAAAGCTTTGTGTGACGTCCACCATACCTCAAGGAATTGTGCGTATCTTCTGACCAATTTTCAAATCCAGCTTCACGTTGTTCAATAAGTTCAATGGTCATGGTTCAACTCTGTGGACATATGTATTGCAGCCTTATTCTTTGTGAAGACTGCTCTTGGTGAAATCTTTCTGCAAGTATTTGAGATCTCATTTGGCTACAACGTTTGCGATCGGGTGTCTTCTTGAAGGTGTGCAGGTGAAGTTGGTTCCAGGTGCAGAAATCGTCGTTGCACCAAAGAAACGTGAAGTCTTGGCTGCGAGTGATGTGGCAGATGGTGAATCTTCGAGTGAAGAAACGCCTCTAGTTGCGGTGAGGGACGCATGGCTACGTGTGCAAGAGCTTGATACCTCTCTTTTCCAGAATCTGAATTTAGAGAATATCAAGTGTGCTACAACTCCCTCCACAACGATATACATATCTCCAGACACCGGAAAATTCTTGTCCTTCGAAGATGGTCAGCTTGTCTCCGTGAGCAATGGACAGGCTCAGGGTCATGTTCAAAAGGCTAGAGTAAGCAATGCTTCCCTCAACAGGGGCGGCCATACCGAAGGATATCATGAGAAGAATGACAGAGTATTTTATCCCGATGAGGCTTCTGATGATGGCGAGGAAATACTCAACAGACAAGCTCTCGTGCGCGTTGCAATCAGGGAAGGCGTTGCAGCTGGACATGCCATGGTTGGGTTCACCCTGCGACTTTACATTGGAGTTACTGTTCACATGCGTATGTGCTCTCCAGTTTTTCTCTGAAAGTTTGGCAACAATTTTGCTCTGAATGCTCTAATTGCGCTACAAGCAAGTATTATGAGCATACAGCGGTTACAGTGGAGAAAATAATAAAATTCGATAGTCGTCACTAAAAGGCTGCATTGTGCTTCATGCATTAAGTGTATACATGTTACGTTGCACACTTATTTGAATTTCCTCGTCTGTCAAATTCTAGTATAGCTTCAATCGAACTCCTTGATTTGTGCGTTTAATGGTTGCTTTGTCCTCACTTGCTTATTCTATTTAGCAGTATCAGCGACACTAACATGTTGGTCCTTGCTGACCCTATCATCATACGATAAGACTACAATATATATCATTCTCTGCTGCATTTGCCTCCCGTGTATGTGAGACTGTATTCCAATCTTGATACTCGATAGTTTCAAATATTAAATATCAGAAAAGACGATACATTACATTGAGACTTTGACATTTCAAGCGACTTGAACTCTACTGTCATTGAATTTTTCACATTGAACTTGTGTATTGTAACATTTGGAGTAACGTACGGGCACTCGAAGTCGAAAACATTAGATCCTAGTTAGAAAGTTTAGATCGACATCGACTGCGCAATTTTCTGAACGTGAGATTGAACCTTGGACTCTACTTCGTGACCTTGACATCCTCACTGACATTTTCCTGGGCGCTTAATCTCAAGTAGGAAATATGGATCAATTTTGAGGCTTTGAAGATCTTATACTCAATGCAGCGACATTCCTATAGAAACATTGGATCAAACATTGCCGTTGCATATTCTAATTTGTTTCAGATGTGTTTATGCAGCTATTCAATTGCAAGCTGTCCCTCGTAAGAAGGTCCTTCGGCCAAGTTTTCTTGAAGTCTCGCCTGTACTTTTCCATGTGATCGAAGCTGAGGAACACTCAGCCGCTGGTAGAGATGATGGTCTGGGATCAGGCGCCAATGTTCGGTCTTATGAGGAAAATGAAGACGAAACCTATGCGTATGCTCAACAAGGGAATCGTAGCAGGTGGCAGGGGCATCGTAATCTACTCGCTGCAGCCAGCAGTTGTTCTGGTGAGAAGTCTGTTAATGATGACACGCGTGTGTTGTCTTTGCTCAAGGCGTGGTTGGAAGCACAATTGATTCTCAGTGGCAGATCACCTGATGACCAGGAAGGTATTCCAGTAGCAAATGAAGCTGTTATTCATATCAGGGTAGTTTCTCGTTCCCAAGAACAGAAGTCGGAAGAACAGAGAAGGTCGCAGGACGAAAGTATGCCGGAAATATTTTCGAAATCCTCGTCGAAGAATAAGACTGGTGTAAGAAATTTCCTTTTCCTTGTTAGTGCGAAAAGTGGGATTACAGCAGGCTCGAAAACTGATGGTAATCAAAGGAAGGACAGTAAACAAAGGCCACGAAGGGATGCGCAGCAGCCTCCGTACTTTCTCTTGAACAGAAATATCCTAGGCGACGGCTTGGTAGCTTCAGACGATAAATCGCCTGAAATCAATACCGATGTCAAAACTTTTCATCAAGGACGCCCTTGTTATCTCCCCTGTGCTACAAATCTGGACTCGGAGCTCACTGAAGGGCCAGTTCTGACATCGCTTAGCTGGTTAGAAGCACCGGCTTCAGAAGCAATGACTAGTACGTTCTTACCAGGGTACTTGATTGTTATCAAATCTTACATGTGCTAGAAACTTCTGCTGCTCTTTCTGCATAGTGTTTGGATTTTGGGAGCAGGTCTTAGGGCAAGCAGGTCTCGGTCAACTGGTTCGCAATCAATTCATTAAACGAATGCTCACGTGTCTGCTATGCAACAGGACTGAAAATTCAACTTTCATATTCGCTACGAAACAAAATGAAATTACTGGGTACTCCACTCCCTGGATTTGTTCTGATTCATGGACCTCCCGTATGTATCACTTAACTAAACACGTATCTTTGCGCTTTTCCGACTTTGCCTCTTCAGCTGCTTGCTATATCTCAGTGTCAGTTATTGATATAGTTCAAGGTGGTTCTGGTGGTGAAGTATCAAGATGCAGTATTAGCATGCAGTAGTGCAGCTAGCTCTCTTGTAACTTGAGACTTCATCAAGTCAACTTAGAAAGTGAAAATTTTTAGCGTCAGGTTAAAAACCAATGTGCTGCCTTCGCCGAATCGATAGGATGTCCAGAGATGCTTCAAATGATGAGATTTCATCCTAGCCACGGAGGAGTGACAGCTTTGCACATTGTACAGAGCGAGGAATGATTTTCTGACTAATGAATAATATGGCTGTCAGGCATGCGGGAAAACCCAGTTGGCTATGGCGCTCTCTCGTGCTCTTAATGAAGATCCTCACGTGCTGGCTCACCGGTATACATTTTTCATTTTGAGTTTGCCCTAGTCCTCATTTTGAAAAAACTCAAGGTTACTTCTTGGGTCCTTCGATAATGTTATTGTCCTGTAACACTCGTGGAGTTATAGTTATGCAGTGCTTTATAAGATGCATTTTGCTTCGCTCAAGTTTTACAACCTTGCAGTTGGTCAGTGACACTTCATGAAGGTATTAAGTAAACAATCGCAATAAACTATATAGGAAATCAGTAATAACGTCTAGATACCTGGAAACTATATAAGACGAGTTCACGTTCGTATTAAGATTACGAGCTATGTGAAGGCTCTTGGCCGAAGTAAGGTACAAGGCCCTACTGAACCGACTACCCATGCAGATCTTGACTAGTCTCGGCGAAGAGTATATTCAGTCCAATGAATTGTTTCATTTAAATTACGTTGTATGTGAAGAGTTGTGGTACGATGCACGGAGCTGGTTGGGGAACAAGCCATGAGAATCAGAGGTGTATTGCAGGACGCTGTCTTAGAAGCAGTACATCATGCTCCGTCCTTAATCATACTCGATGATTTAGATTCACTCCTCTCTGCCGCTGAGTCAGATGGCCCTGAACCGGGAGTCGCTGTGCTCTCAATCGCGGAATACCTTGCTGATCTCATGGATTTATGCCAGGTAAATGCCGTGTAGACCTCTGCCAAACTTTTTTAACTTCTGCTTCACTGAAATTGAGGTTTTTAAAAGGATGCTTGAAATTTCACTAGGTTTTTTGTAGACAGAAAAGAGTCGTTACAACTTTGACTTGAAATCAGGGACGGAGGGACAACATTTTCTCTGCTGCAGCTGTTGCCTTTTTGGCTGTTGCAAAGTCACCCACAGCTCTTCCAAAATGTCTCTGCTTTTCAGGTTGTAATTATGTGTACTTTTATTTTTTTTACACATCGTGAGAATGAACTCATCGATATGTTCCACGTTTTATTGCCTTCTACTTTTGCACGCTTCACTCTGCATTGAGCTGTATCTTGATCTTCATGCTCACAGCTCGACAGAAACTGGTCTACGCATTCAGTAGCGTTGATGCGCAGGCAATCTTTTTCAAGTGGGGATTAGGGAAATGATTTCTTGTTGTCTTTCAACTGCTTTCTATTATTTCGCTAGCTTTACATCGATTTGTGAAGTGGATTTTGAATTGTGGACCTTTGTTTGAACCAGTTTGCGTGAGATAGAAACTGGCAAGAAGTTTGTTCATTCTACCAGACCGACCAGTTGTCATTGGCTTTGTCCACGAGCGCTTGTGATTTTTCAAAGTAGCCTTATAAAAATCATTTCTTCCATTTGTTGTTCGTTCAGGACGGTTGGATTACTACGTACAACTACCCGTTCCTGCAGCCACAGAAAGAGCGGCTATTTTGACTCAGGTTGTGATGTCCCGAGGATTGCGATGTTCGTCCTCTGTTGCAACGAAAGCTGCTGCAAGTTGTGACGGTGCAGATGCCACAGATATGGTAAATGTCACTCACTTTCTCCGTTACCGTATTAAAGAAAACCTTTTTGACATGTTCTCATCTTTTATGTTATATCCTGTCAAAAGTTTAGACCCTGAGAGATCTTTTGTACTCTAGAACAACTTTGAACGCAAGATGTGATGCCTCAAGTTACCTGTCTCAAATGATTACTGAATATACCCATTGAAGTAGATGGTTGCTTGGATTATGTCAAGCTAGGTTAGGTATCGTTTGTGGTTAGCATCTGTTGTATGAAACTGGATACACTTCACGATACGGATTACTCTTTAAAAATGGTGGATGAATTGCAGGAACTTTTGGTGGACAGGGCAGTGCATGCCGCTGCAAGTCGTTTTTTATCTTCAAAAGCGAGTATTGTAGAAATCCCAAGTCTGGCACCGGCAGTGTCTAGTGCTTCACCTGAGGAGCAAATTACTCTGATGGAAGAAACACCGGAATCTCAATCTGTACTTACTTCGAAGAAGAATAACAAGTTCGAGATTCTTGAAGAAGATTTTACAGCTGCTCTTGAAGATTTTGTTCCTGTTGCAATGAGGGGCATTGGGAAAAGTGGGAACCAACTCTCACACTTGGGTTGGGAGGATGTCGGAGGCTTGGATTCAACCCGAGCTGCTCTGCAAGAGGTAGAGCTTCGGGAACTAACGTAGTGCTTGCCTGATTTGCTTTTGAGTGCACTGTCCAGTATACATGTCGTGTAATTGTCAAGAGTGGAAAGACTAGTCCAGTCAAACTCTCCAATTCTGGACTTTCTCGTATGCCTACCATTTAAACGCTCAACTTGTCCCATAGACTACATGGAGGTTTGAATCTAGACCAGGAACAGACATTGGCATCGATTTAAAGCTTCACAACGCTTAAGTTCTAGTCCTTGCCGATAGAATGTCTTCTTTGCTTTGTTGCTTCACGTCATGAGAGGGAGACATTGACCTAGAAGTTTAAGGTGGTCGTGTTCGGCAATCTAATGCTCGAGAGAGCACTGTCAGTACTTTTTCTGACGTGAGCCATCTTTATTTCGTGTTCAGATGTTGGAAATGCCTGTCAAGTACAGCAGTATTTTTGCAACGGCTCCTTTGAGGCTACGTACAGGAGTTCTTTTGTATGGGCCACCAGGCTGTGGCAAGACTCACATAGTGGGCGCTGCTGCCGCAGCTTGTTCTCTTCGTCTTCTGTCCGTAAAAGGTCCAGAGCTCTTAAATAAGTACATCGGTGCTTCAGAACAAGGGGTCAGTTTTGGCTTCTTCTGCATTCTTGGTTATTTAATGCCACCTCATATATATTCCATTGGGTGTGCTAATTCTTTTCTATGTTCTAGATATTCACGCTGCTCGGCTGGATAGTCGTTTACTACTTACGCAGTGTATGAAGCCGTTTTGTGTATTTTGTAGAATCTGGTAGAGGACAGAAAGATTTTTCCGTCTAACATATCATATTTGATCTGCACATCTCAAAGTCATCCAATTAACATTCTTTACCTTGCCTAAATCTTCAGGTTCGGGATATTTTTGCCAAGGCCGTTGCTGCATCACCATGCATCTTATTTTTTGACGAGTTTGATGCCATCGCTCCGAAGCGAGGTCACGACAATACAGGTGTTACCGATCGAGTTGTCAATCAAGTACGTGTATCTGTGTTTCATCGAGTTTTGATGTATATGGTTGTCGGGCACGTGATACATTTGCCGTTTTATCCAGAAACTACAACACATGTACTTGCACAGTGTCTTGTGTAATTCGCTTACAGTAGGTAGATTGTAGGGTTTAGGAGACTGACTGACTTCTTCGCAGTCTGGACAGGATAGGTTTTACAGGTTTAGGTCCGAATAGGTTAAAATTCTCACCTTTCTTGAGTTTAATTGCAGCTTTTGACAGAATTAGATGGGGTGGAGGCCCTGAATGGAGTTTTTGTTTTCGCTGCCACAAGGTACTGATTAAACTCTGTAATTGCCTACATCAAGAAACATACTTTCGAGTTTCGCTGGTGAATTGAAACTACACTCAATAGTACACTCACGGACCGCAGACCGTGCCCTGGCCAAGCGGTCCTAAGATGTGTAGCATATGCAGGTATACAAAATAAGATTCAGCAATTAAATGCAGTTTTGTCAGCACATTTCTGTTTTTAAATATCCATACGCTCCCCGTCGTGGATGTGCAGCCGACCTGATCTCTTGGATGCGGCACTTTTGCGGCCTGGAAGACTTGACAGACTGCTTTTATGTGATTTCCCTACATTGGAAGAACGCCTGGCGATATTGGATGTCCTTGCCCGGAAGGTGTGGATATTTCCCTACTCTCTTCTTGCATTGTACATCGATTACGATCTAATTTGGCCTTTCCCTGCCCTTTATTGCATGTAGTTAGTCATCAATTCCTTTTCAAGATCATTGAATTACGTGGACCTCAGAGCTGGATGAATGTGGGGATGTTAAAAGTAAAAAGAGCTGGATCGAACTTTTCTTTCGACTTGCATTTTTCTTGGATATTCTTGTCTGTAAATGCTCCTGGAATTACAACAAGTGTCAAGTGTCGAAATGATACTGTGCTAGTGTTGTCTTTTCTTCTTTCTTTAGACAATAATCTGATCAGTGTTGCGTGTTTCTCGCCTGTTTTTGTCCTGTCAGCTTCCAATGGCAGATGACGTTGACTTGCATGTAGTCGCATCATTAACGGAAGGTTTCAGTGGTGCGGATCTGCAAGCAGTTTTGTCTGATGCTCAGCTGGAGTCTGTTCATACCTTTCTAGATGATCCTAGTAATGCAGGTCACAGATCTTTGTCAGACCAAAAGCCTGTTATTACCATGCCTCAACTTAGAGAAACAGTGATGAAAGCAAGGCCCTCGGTACCAGAAGCAGAAAGACGTCGGCTGAATGGAGTTTATGAATCTTTCATAGGAGCAAAAGCATCGTCGAAGGTATGTGTATGTTCAGAATTGAGTTGACCGCTGAATGTTTTTTCTTCGCAGCGTTCACCTTGCCTGCTAAATGTACAAGTTGTCCATCTTTTCGGGTTTTTTTATGGGTCTGAATAGAACGAATTTAGTCTTATCCCTTTGCTTCATTGGTATTATTATTATTATTATTATTATTATTATTTTTCTTCATTTCAAACTGTGCAGAGCTTTGATTTCATATGTTTCAAGACGATTAAGCAAGCTTGTGCAAATGTACAGGCAAGGGACGTAAAAGGCAAGCGAGCAACGCTGGCTTGAATTGCTGGATAGCAACGGGCACTTCAATGCAAATCAGCTGCGCTCTCTCATCAGAACTTCGAGTCAAGGTGACAGTGAACGCAGTCACTTCGTTCGGCAGTGGCTAATCCCCGCGTTATCTCCTGAAGAAATGGTCGTCTAGCCTTGGAGCCGCCACATTGGTTGGGTATCACTTAAGCACTATCCAACTGGAAGATTTAGAAGCATTCTGCCACCACTCCATCACGCAGCAGCAATTTCAACTAGGAATGTGCTGATGCCGCTCGCTCTGCTGTTGTTGAAAGTCATCTCCACTGCGCAGCATACAGGAGAGCTCGTTCGATCATTTGTAATATGTCCTCTTTGGGATGCCAAAGTATCTTCGCAACGAAGTAAAGAGTCAAGACTTTGTGCGAAATTTATCCAACAATGTAAAAGTATGGATTATCTCTTGTGTACCACCCAATCCCCAGGGCTAGACCTTGATTTGCACTCCGTTACGCAGTATATCATCGGTACTAGCTTCAAAAATACTGCCCTACGTATTCATTCATCGTGTTATCAATTCAATGAGAAAATTGAGGCCACAGGTGTGTTGCACGATGAACCAAAGCGAACCAAGGGAGGTACGATGCCGCCGTCTCAGTGATAAATCTACGCAAGGTTTGATGTTCATCCATGCAGCCGTGGAGTTTGACACTCAAAAACGGTACACGAAATCCGGACGAGGTTCGGACGACACCGATCATCACAGCAATTTGAAGTCTGCCAAGTACCCAACATCACACCGGAAACCAAAAGCAGATTAAAACAGGCGAAGTTCACAAGGCGATTTTTCCGGATCGGGTAGTTCAGTTTGGGAAAGGCCTGTCGGAAACTAATCAATTGCGAGAGGGAAATCTATCCAAACCCCGCGTTTACCAAGTCCTCAGGAAACTCTGGTCAGTTCTGAGCATTCATTCCGTAGAGTGGAGAAAGCTCGAGCGCAGGACCACGTTCAAGGGGGGTTGTTCTTGTACGGTGCGGGCAGGCTCTGTACTGTAGCCAAAGCAACACCTAACAACGGAAAGTCGCACGAGCAAGAAACGGCGCCGTCTAGGGTTTGGGCGAGGCCGGGGATGCTCGCGACAGTTATAAGCCGAACAGATCTAAACCGTCTTACGTCTCTCTACTACCAAATTGTATACCTCCTCCCACCTCCTCTTCCCATCCCTCTCGCTGGTTACGAGGCGTAATCCGTCGCCAGCTCCTCTTCCTCCTCTTCCTGTCTGCCCTTGTCATTCTCACTTCCGTCGCTCTTCTGGAATTTACTCGGTCGTTATCTAGAAGATTGATTTGTACAGATTTGCCTAGACACCTGCACAAGGAAGTACTGGTCTTCGCAGTCTTAATCAGGGTCTATTCTCCAAAGTTGTCCTCTCGCGCTCGAGTTCTTGTGTATGCAATTGTGGCTGTGATGTTCTAGAGGTGTTCCCCGTGCAGGTTCATCAAGTGATCCGTCTTTTCGTCAGGCTGTCCGTTTCGTATTTCGGAAGGCTTCTTTTGAGTCGACGCACCTTCGTTCGGGCCTTGTTTTGGACTCCCCTCTCGTAGCCTCGTGTCGGACTACTGTCTCGTGAGTTAGGGTTTAGAGTCCAGGAATTTGGCGTTGCACAAAATGGGGGCCGAAGATGTTTTGGACGTGGAAACTTTCGCCTTCCAAGCCGAGATCAATCAGCTTCTGAGCCTGATCATCAACACTTTCTACAGTAATAAGGAAATCTTCTTGAGGGAGCTCATCTCAAATTCTTCCGATGTGAGTCTCTCCCATAATATGTGTATTGCAAGCGTTGCGCGATACATGTTTTCTCTATCAAGAGCCCTTGGACGTGAGAAATGTCCTAGGTCTACGCAGGAAATGAAGTGTTCAACTGTCACGCTATTCGTCCATGGGCGCTTGAGAGAGGGTGCATGTGTCAATCCAGGACGTACTTGCCCAGTTTTGTGTTTTCCCCTTATATTTTCCACCTCTGATTAAATTGTTTGCAAGAATTAACGCAGTTCTACCGCTTAGTGGAAGTCTCAAACTTACGTCTCGAAGTGCAGGCACTCGATAAGATTCGTTTCGAAGGACTCACTGATAAGAGCAAGTTGGAATCGCAACCTGAACTATTTGTTCACATCATTCCCGATCAAGTCAACAACTCTCTGACCATCATTGACTCTGGAATTGGGATGACCAAGACTGGTAGGAACCTTCGAATGAGCTATAAGTCAAATGTATATTAGAGTCTAGCTGTCAGTGTACGTAATTTCCTCATCTCCGCGGGTTTGAGATCATCCTAGAAAGATAGAGTACGGATGTGGAGGAGGCAGACCCGTGTGTACAACTGCTTTTCCTTCAGCCAAGAAGCAAGTTGAATGGAGGTCCTGCTATATCAACAGGGGGGGTGGGCAGTGAATCTGGATCTTGTGACATTTAACACAATCACCCCTTCGACAACCTTTTTCCTGAACGTAACAGGAATCTTCCAGTTGATAACCATGCTAGTTATAACGTGATCGGAGTGGATTAATTACCGGGCTGTTTGCAGATTTGGTGAACAATTTGGGAACGATTGCTCGATCTGGAACCAAGTCGTTTATGGAAGCCTTGTCTGCCGGTGCTGATATAAGCATGATCGGTCAGTTTGGAGTCGGATTTTACTCGGCATACTTGGTTGCAGAGAGGGTTGTTGTTCACACCCGTCACAATGACGACGATCAGTACATCTGGGAATCCCAAGCTGGTGGATCCTTCACTGTCCGGAAAGACACAAGTAAGTGAATGAAGCGTTAGTCTTCTGAACCCAAGCCTCCAGCCCAGTTCCTAGGATTGTCTGAAGTAGATGTAGGTCGAGGACAGCACAGGAGAGGTGACGATGCACAGTGGCGGTGATGACTCCTTTTGCCAACAGTCGCGAGAAAGAAGTAACGATGAGCATTCGGTTAAGTCAAATTCTGAGCCTCTGTGCATGTCTACGCATCCGTCACCTGTGAGGACAAACTACTATGACTGCCTATACATGCTGGAAGAAACCTACCTGCATATTGTCTCGAACTGCCACCGGCCTCAATCCTGCAAGCCCTTGTGAGCTCTAGCTTTGAAGCCGCAGCGCCCTTGACGATTTGTCCACAAGAAGGACAAATACTCAAGGGGCGCAGTCTGCATAATCTCAACGCCAGTGCAGTGATGATTTTGGTCCTGTGCAATGAAGGTGACAGTCGAAACTTTGAGCCATATCCTCTTTACCTAGTATACTGCCTGGTACCCTTGAGTCGTAGGTATGTCAGCTGAGTTGTGGATTTACATTCTGCAATAAATTACAGAGTGCCATGTTCCATCTCATTGAGACAACCGAACGTTCTCGTCTCTGCCGAGGTGTAAATGAAGAACTGTGTAGCGTGCCCGAACTCTATTGCAATCAAACAATCACCGCTCTCACAATGCCCGTAGCTTAAACACAATCACCCGTCTGGTACACATCTTAATAGACTGAAAAGAACCCTTACCGTATCTTCGACCTGATGTTGAGATACTGGTCTTTTGAGCCTACAATAAGTTGGCTCTGGAACTTGGGTAGTCTGCAAGTAGTTGCCCTCTCAATATCACCACTTTCATCAAACTGCTTAAACCGAAGCGAAGTAGAGAGATGGAGAAAGTCAACAATGAAGTATTTGAAACACCACAAGTCTCTTCGCGGCAGGCCTTTTGTAGGAAGAGAACCTCTCTCAGACACAATTTCCTGAACAGGTGGAGAGCCACTGGGCCGAGGAACGAAAGTTGTCTTAATGCTGAAGGAAGATCAACTGGAATACTTGGAGGAAAAGCGGCTGAAAGACCTCGTTAAGAAACACTCGGAGTTTATAAGTTACCCGATATCCCTCTGGACCGAGAAAACTGTTGACAAAGAAGTATCTGATGACGAAGAGGAAGTCGTGGACAGGAAAGGAAAAGGAATTAAGGAGGAAGACGATGCAGCGAGCGACGGAGATGTAGACACTGAAGGAAGGATTGAAGAAGTCCCTGAAGATGAAACGGAGAAAAAGGAAACTGTGACGAGAAAGAAGAAGAAGGTATGGGCAATTAAACATAACGCCTACATGATCTGATTCAACGTGGAAAAAAAAAGGACGTCATTGTACAGTAAAATCCATCCACCAAAACCAAAATCCATCGTGAATCAAAATCTTCTTCAAAATCCTTTCATGGCGGGAAGTACGTGTCTTTCATCATGACTGAGTGAGAAATTTGAAGCCTTCCATTACAACAAAGGTTGAAATAACCTATTCTGTCATTCTCATTGACGATTACATGATCGTTTGATCAAATCATGAAAAACCATCATGCCTGCTTGCCTGATCCATTCCTCAGGTGAAGGAAGTTACACACGAATGGGCTCAAATTAACAAAATGAAACCGATATGGATGCGAAACCCAGAAGAGATTAGTCGTGAGGAGTACGCTGCATTTTACAAAAGCTTGACAAATGATTGGGAGGAGCATTTGTCGGTGAAGCACTTCTCTGTTGAAGGACAGGTAAATCTTGTGCAGTACGAGAACTGTCGTTGGCACCTTGTAGTGAAGTGGAAGTAGGAGTGGAAACAGCTGACACTTTGTGTGGAGGAAGAACATAAACCAGCTTATTGAGCCGACGATATTCTGTTTGCAGCTAGAATTCAAATCGGTCCTATTCATTCCGAAGAGAGCACCCTTCGACATGTTCGACCAGCGCAAGAAACAAAACAACATCAAATTATACGTACGCCGTGTCTTCATCATGGACAACTGCGAAGAAGTTATACCTGAGTATCTTGGCTTTGTCAAGGGCATTGTGGACTCGGAGGACCTCCCGTTGAACATCTCCCGTGAGATGCTTCAACAAAACAAGATTCTAAAGGTTCACTTTTCAGTCTTCTGTACTTTAATCGTTTATTCTTGCCTCAGAAGCAGTTACTGCAGGCTTGTATGGAGAAGGTCTTTCTCCCTAGTATCTGAGGTATCCACTAAAGAGTGTACATTTTGTTCCTCTCTCGACCTTTATCTCGACTAGATTTCCCACAGCCAACATATTGTTCTTCGCTGAACCTCCTAATTGCTATGAATTGCAGGTCATCAGAAAGAATATAGTCAAGAAATGCTTAGAAATGTTTAACGAGATCGCTGAGTCAAAGGATGACTACAAAACATTCTATGAAACTTTTGGCAAGAATTTGAAACTCGGAATTCACGAAGACTCGCAAAATCGGGCAAAGCTTGCAGGTATGAAATGGATTATATCGTTACACATAATCTCAGCTTCACAACTCTGGAAAAGCCGTGAGTGAAAGCTGTCGATTGTCCATACCCTTCGGTAGCTGGATTCAAATAACAGATTTCTCGAAGGTGTCTCTAACATGAGTTACCAATAATGCACCACAATGCTTGAACGGGTTGCAAATTTGACATCTGACAACAAGCTTGTTCGTCTTGATACAAATTTCCGGATTTCAGATCTTCTCCGGTATCAGTCAACAAAGTGCGGAGACGAATACACATCTTTCAAAGATTATGTGACTCGAATGAAAGATGGCCAGAAGGACATATACCTCATTACTGGAGAATCCAGGAAGGCTGTAGAGAACTCACCCTTCTTGGAGCAGCTGAAGAAACGAGGATACGAAGTCCTGTTCATGGTCGACCCAATAGATGAATATGCAGGTTGGTGAGAACGGTTTCCTTTTCTGATTCTGATGTGGGCACAGTACTGATGAAAGCAGCCTGCTTGCTTCTCCACGGTGCACCTTGATATATCAACAACTACGAGTCAATTCCAACTCAAAATACGTGCATGAATTGAACTGCGCAGTGCAGCAGCTGAAAGATTATGATGGACACAAGTTGGTCTCTGCCACAAAGGAGGTGCCTGCTTCTTCATTCCCTTGAAAGTAGTTTCAAGAGTAAAGTCAAGAGGTTGCTGTGAAAAACTTTACAGTATCGTCAATCAGTCCTATTTCGACCTATTTACTGGACCCATAGTTTACATGTTTGCAGCTGACTTTGTATCTTCAAGCTTACGTTCCGTGTTGTATGATGACAGGGATTGAAGCTTGAAGATACAGAAGAGAATCTTAAGAAAAAGGAGGAGATCAAAGCTCGGTTTGAGAGCTTGTGCAAAGTCATGAAGGTGCGTCGTGCTGACTATGTCTGCTGATAGCTTTCAATAATACCTGAATATATCCGAATACGGTTGTATGAAGCAAGGCCACAAGGTTCACTCTTCCTATATACAGTAACTTCTTGGCTGCACATCTACAAGTAAATCAATTTCCTTCTTTGCCTTGACTACAGGAGATTCTAGGTGAGAAAGTTGAGAAGGTCCTTGTTTCTGATCGAATCGTGGATTCACCCTGTTGTCTAGTCACTGGAGAGTAAGTTTTCCAGTGATGCAAGCTGATTTCTGTGCCTTTCTCTGAATTGTAGCTGCGGAAGACTAATCGGTGAACCACATGTACACTATTTTAGTACTGGATTTGGTAGGAAAGGCAGTGGAGTTTCCGTAATTATTCGAAACATCCCAATTTTACTTTCCCCGTGGAGAAATTGACTTCTTGAGCAGTTCATCCGTTCCTTCTTATATAGACAGCAGGAAACTAGAAGACAGCAAATGGAGAACTAATCTGCGACCCTGAGCCACAGGTATGGTTGGACTGCAAACATGGAGCGAATCATGAAAGCTCAAGCCCTGCGCGACAATTCTATGAGTAACTATATGAGCAGTAAGAAAACACTGGAAGTGAATCCAGAGAATCAAATAATGATTGAAATTCAAAAGCGAGCTGAGGCTGACAAAACTGACAAGACAGTGAAAGATCTTGTACTCCTGCTATTTGAGACTGGTAAGACCCTTGACAAGATGGCCATCTTTTACATGGGATCTGGTGATAGTGAAGAAAAACCCAAGTATTAGCAGATTAACTTTGCAGAGTCCCAGAAGCTAAGATTACGTCAAAGTATCTACCGCAACGTGACGCCTCACCTGCTTCGGATATACCTCAGTTCTTCTTAAAAATCATTTAGATGAAAAGTAAGGGCTTCATAATTCATTACCACACGAAAAATGGCATACGAGAGCAGCTTCGTATTTAGAGCAAATGGATTCGGGAATCAGCAAACAGATAGAATGGAAGTAACTGAGCAAAGGAGAAAGCCGAAAAGTTCAGTGTTCGAATCAAGAAATGGAGGAATCGAAGGAAGTGTGAAGAAAGTAAAGCTATCCAAGTGTTTCATCGTTGAAGGGATTAGAAACAGAAGAAGCATGTGGGAGCGAAGAGACAGACGACAGGGGTTATTTAGGATACTAGAGTCCCCCGTTCCTTGCATATCCAAGACATGACGACAATTGACTGCCGTCCCTATGGCCTTGCATTTTCTGACTGTGGCCGGATTATGTGGGTGTTTCTGCAGCACTCTTGACGTCGGGCTTCAGTCTCGATGAGCCCAACACTTTCGGAACGAGGATTCACAGGATGATCAAGCTTGGCCTCAGCATTGATGAGGACGCCGTTCCGGTGGAGGATGATGTCGAGATGCCACCCTTGGAGGAGGACGACGAGGGCAGCCGAATGGAAGAAGTAGACTAGACCACATCCGCCATGTACACGTTCTAGCGCTATTTTGACATTTGTTTGAAAGCCAGTCGCCAGCATGAGTGTGGTGCGTGGCTCCTCTGTATAGAAATGCCATCTTTTGTTTTGTGAAGGCGTGTCCAACATGTTGTAAACGTTGCCCATGATGAGAATGCTGCTGTACTTGCTCTCCTCTCTATCCTCTTCAACCCATTCGGAGCTCCATCCTCTCCAGACACAAATCGTTCATTCTCTTCCCTGCTCTTCACTTTTCTCACGTATTTCCACAACTCCTGACAAGAGTTGGGAGATGGGAAGTCAAAGATGTGAATGTAAAATGACAGAGCCTCTAGGAAAATGACAAACCCACGAGACACAGAGACTGCTATCTAAACTGCGAAGTTTGGCTCAAGCATATGGTATAACTATTAGTATTATCATACATTATTGTTAAGTGTCATAGTAGGTCTGTGAAGCGAGGAAAAATTCTGTGAAATAGGAAGAGATTGGTGAAAGCAAGTGTGTCTAGAAGCTATAAAAGGAAGACAAGCTACAAATACACCCGAAGTGGACCCAAGGTGGAGTCTTATGGTATTTCTACTTCCTATTCCCCCTCCTAACACACAACCCCTTATATTACTTCATTTGGTCCTTCCCTCCATTCTCACTAACTGCAGCCAACTGACAACGGCCTTGACATTACGGGAAGTGCGCAGTCACTCCAAACAGCTAATGCCAAGCTCTTAAGAGCTTTTTCTCTAGCAAAATATGTTTTAAAAATCATTCAAATGTTTCATTAGACAATAAAATTAACAAATCTATTTTATTATCTGAATCCATTAAAAATTCTAAAATAGATGAATCGTTAATATTTAAATGCAGTTTGTCAATTTTTGGTACTTACAAATAAAAGAAGAAAGTTAGTAAGCACCAAAGCCTTAAATCGATTTCAGCTCGTCTTCATTCCCTTCTCACACCCTGCTCTCTTCCTGCGTGGAGATGGCCATGGGATTTGAATCTTAGTTCGACTCCCGAGTCAAAACTGTCAGTATCGAGCGGGGATTGAGAGTTTGGAACACGAGTAAAATCGAAATATACGAGAATAAATATTGTCATGAATGTTGATAGGAGCATCTTTGCGCAAATCCGTAGGAGAAGTTGTGAACCGCGTATGCGGTGAGGTGTAGGGCCTAAACCCTAAACCCTAAACCTTTCGACTCGCTTAGTTGCACAAACTTTTACAAACGGCCGTACTGCCAGGTGTCAGGGATTCCAGTTTCTTTCTCCTCTTTCTTTCTTTCTTCATCCTCCCTTCGGGCTGCCCCGGATCAGCCGGATTTTATCTCAGTTTTGGGAACGGGGAGGCGGGGCACTTTGCGGGGAGGGAACGGGGAGGGCACTTTGCGGCAACCATGTAGAGGCCGCAACGTTGTATCTAGTGCGTTGCAATGATCGCAGTCGTGTCGTGGAACGTTGTGGGAAAAAGAACTAAAACTGAACTGCAAGAGGGATAGCTCAGATGGAATCCCTAATGTTCAGACTGTAATATTTGTAATGAAACGGTGATAACAAATTGAGGCGACGAAATTTTAAGCGGCAAAGATTAGGGTTTTTGAAAATAGAATCACATCAATATTCTCCAGCTCGTCGTTTCGACGTCGCTTTTGGGTGCCAGTGTCAGTGCTTTGAGGAGCTCGTGCCAGAGCTCGTGCTTGTACTTTTCTTGTCATTTCAGGTGCTTTTGCAGGTGTGGTGACAGCATGGAGGCAGGATGGATTGTGCAGGACCCACCTTATGAAGGCCCTTTCAATTCGTTAATGTTGAATTGGTCAAATGGGACGGCCTACATCAAAAGCTCGAGGCTTAACGATTTTGTTTCGGGAGAGGGATCTTGTCATAGTGATGCGAAGACAGAATTTGTGACACGTTGCTCATACAAGGGTGGAGTTACTAGGCACAATTGGGAATCGTATGCAATGTATTATTGCAAGTATGGTACTCCAGAAAGGGGCAAGAAGAGTATGCTTTCCTCGAATTTTATTCAAGATCCATCAACAAAGGCAAAATTTGGTCCTGGCAGCAGGAATAGACTAGATCATGATTCGCATCACAAGGGCTGTCAGTGCAGGTTTAGTGCCATTAAACTGCTGTCTAATGATCACATTCCACCAGGAATCACAAAATTGATATACAAGCATAGAATACACGTAAATGCTGCAGGTGTAACTTGTCATGGCACAGCGTGTTCGGATAGTGTTGGCTTGCCATCTCAAATGGTGCGCAATTTATCCTCTGAATGCAGGTAACGGCATATTTGTTACATTTTCAATATATTTGTTTATCGTTCACAGTCAATCTCCCGTCATATTTGTAATATCTACAATAAGTTTGTTGTTATTACAATTTGTAAAACTTTGACACTAAGCAAGCACGTTGTCTAATATTTTCTACGTTCTTATGCCAGGGAGTGGGTTGAATGCGAGTTAAGAAGAGGTTTAACTCCTCCACAAATTCTCATGCGTGCTGCAAAAGCACTGTTTGAAAATCATCAGCGCTTAGGCTATGTGCAAAGGTCCCCTATTAGAGATCATTATATCACATCTGCCGATATGTATAATATCAAATTGGAATTGGACAAAGAAATTTGGAGAAGGCATGCTAATGATAGAATTAGCACAGAATTATGGATGAAAGCGAATTCATCTCAAGTTGTTTTGTATCAGGCACCAAAAAGTGATCCATTTAAACCATTGAGGCTTGCTGTTACAAGACCCTTGCTCCTAGATTGGTTGCTAAAACATGGAAATGGAGGTTGTGTTGCTATAGATGGAACGCATGGCACGCAGAAGTATAAGGTAATATTCTACTACCACATTTTGATGTTTTTATCATTAGGCTTCCATGATTATGTATATTCTACCTTACTATTTGCAATCTCTGCAAGATATTTGAAAAAATGACGGTTTGGAGCTTTAACCAATCCAGTAAGAGATTATTGAACGTCTCAATGTGTGTTGTATATGTTGTTTTATATACCTTGATCACGTCTAAATTATCAAGACATAAAAATAACGAATCATTCATTTGTATCAGGTTTAGCTTAGTATCAATGAAGATGAATACTTTGTAGACGATTGCTAGCAGCAAACTGATACGTTTATTTCATTTTTTGCAATGCAGTATCCACTGTACACCCTGATGCTGTTTGACGAATATGAACACGGACATCCTACTGTTTTCGGATTCCTCGAAAGAGAAGAAACATAAGATCTAGTGGATTTATTATCTGCAGTGAAGAAGATGGCCCAACATTATATCCCTGGATGGATGCCCTCGTGCTTCATGACAGATTGTGCTGACAATGAGAGACTTGCCCTAGACATTGTTTTTCCGCATATCCCTCTATTTCTTTGCATATATCATGTTCAAAAAGCATGGACGAAAAAATTGATTGAGGTTGTGAGTGGTCATGAAAAGAGAGCTATTATGAATGCTGCTTTAGAAGATCTGTGCTTTGGAAGCACATTAAATGCTGATGGAGAAGAATTTGATGTGGAAAGATCTGCTGCGATGAAGCTTCTGTTATTTTACAAAAAATTTCAGCTCTCTGAGCCACAATTTGTGAAATACTTTCAAACAGAATGGGAACCTTGTATGGGTAAGTGTAAGTTTGTAACATGTGCATTATATTTGAAGTTATTACATTTTGGAAGTTGTTTTTTGCTTAATGAACTTCCACAAGCACATCTAACTTACAATTTTTGGAATTCAGGTCAGTGGATTCGTGATGAACGGAGGAACACATGTCGTAACAATCAAGATACCAACAACGCTATGGAATCAATGCATGGACACATGAAGGATTTCCTTTATGGCTGGCGCAGGAATGCACATGAGCAACGTTTGGATCATACAGTATATGGTCTGCTAGGGGATTTTGTAATGAGAATTTGGTACAAAGATCAGAAGAAGCTACTTGGCTTTATTCCAAATAAGAAGAAAGATCAACGTGTGATTGTTGTGATCATGAAGACAAGATCTATGCTAACTGTCCCTGTTACTTGGCCTCATGACTATGCAGGCCCCGCATTAGTGGGCTCTACATCAAAGCTAAATAGAAGGTATCTTGTAAATTGGAGACGAGAAAAGTATGCATGCGAGTGCTTCTGGTCACTCCAAGGCAACTTTTGCAAACATCAGGTACAACTCAGATTGTAATTCTGTCTTTGATTGCATATATTGGTCGTATCTATATTTTTTATTAACACTGCTTGATTCATGTGTGTCTAGATTCTTATTCTACGAAGGAAAGGATATTCCGAGACCAACATCCGCATTTGTTTGGGCATACGGTTTGGTGGAATACGAGGTGGAATCAAAGAGCTCTTTGATAAAGGTCCTTCATCACAGATATATGATTTCAATGAGGATCCAGTCCTTCGAAGAGAATTTGCAGATATTGAAGTCAAAGATGATCGCCATGACACCTTCAACCTTACAGAAGGTGCTTCAAACTGTCATTTTAATGTGCAATAATTGCATATATTTTGTAGAAATGACAGTTTGAGTGATGAAACTACCTAACCGTACATGTTCTATGTGTTATCAGATACGGACAGCCCTGTAAAGAAAGCATCTGGTCTTTCCTTCCTTCTGGAGGAGGAAGGAAAGACCAAGCGTGTTCTTCATACTCAATTGGTATGGCTGAAGGACTTTTTTGATAAAAATCCTAGTATGCTGAAAGTGGGAGAGCTAGAGCTCCGGCATTGCATTGGACGTATCAAGGAGTCTCACCAAGCATGGAGTACTGGTAGAATACTTCCTGTTGCAGACATGTGGCGTACATCCATGCTAGATAAGCCTAGCTCATCATTCAGGAAATTGAGTTGGCTTGAAAAATTAGCAGGCATTAAATGTCCTAAGCCACAGAGATTACTTGAAACAGGAGAAAGATTTAGAGCCCCTACCGCAGATTTAGGAAAGGTAGAAGAAGGAGCTTTACAGCTCAGACTTCGAAAGGGCAGGCAGAAGACCAAAAGAACTCGAAGTCTGATCAAGCAATTCCTTCAGGCAAGTGCAAATAGAGAAAAACGCAAAGAGGAACAAGCTAGAATTCTAGGAGAGACGATTGACTTGACTCTTTCTCCCTAAG